ATAGGGTGTGCATAGGGCATCACATGAAAATAGCCACATGTTCTCATATGCAATTTTATGTAGGAAGTGATCATCTTCAATACGGTCTGAAATGACAGCTTTATTATTTTCTCTCTTTTCAAAATTTTGAGGCCCCTCCCTTTTTATGTTTATATTCTTTAAACATTCTCTAAAGATGTAGTATTACATTGTCTCTCAGTGCGGTGTGATATGGTAGATTGTTTTAAGTGTAAATCGATTTCTATTAATTACTCATGCTATTGAGTTATTCATACAGTCATATTCTTCATAAAATGAAATAAAATTTTTTAAGAAGAGAAAGTAAATACCAACTCTGTAATGTTGTCTCAGAAATTGCAAATTCTCTGTTTAAGAAATGGAAAAGAATTGGGATATGATGGTGGTGAATGACATGCCACTCATTAGTGGTACCTTTATGTCTCTCCTGTTTGTGTCTCTTTTGATTTGTGAAGTCACAGCTTTGGTTTTTCTGATATTACCCTAACCATGCTACAGGACACCTGTTAACTTGCCTTTGATATTCTTTGTCAATTTTTTTTTCATATTTGACTGATGCAGGTTTTCTCATATTCTATGTGCATGGATAATTCGTGGGATAGTCTTTCAGTGTCTGTTATATCACAGGTAAATATATTAAAAAACTCTTCTTAGATAATTTAAGCCTTTTGTTATTTTAGTATTTTAATGAGTATCTACATTGCTTCTTGCGTTGATCTTCCATAAGCTAAGATGATTCACGTGATGTCTTTCTTCGTACCAATTAAGTGTGGCTGAATTTTCCATTGGGTTGTGAGTCATTTACTTTCAGAATGTTAAGATGTATTAAGTTACACTTCCAGTCCCTTTGGTACCATCCGCCTGAAGGCTGCAACAGCCAACATGCCCTTTTACATTCCTACTGATATATTTTCAAGAACCATTTGCACTTTGCTAAACTTTAGGTCTTTCTATAAAGTTCGTATGTGGATCTGCAGAGCAATAAGTTGCTTTTTATTTACTTTTGGCTTCGTAGGAATTATATTGTGTAATATAGTTGGCTGAATATTTTGATGTGTTAAGAAAACAGTGCACCAGAGATGTGGTTGTAATTTCAAAAAGGGATCCACATATTAACCACAAAAAAAAAGGGATCCGCGTATATAGACCTTTTATAATTCTCTGTGTGTAATGTGTCGGTCACAGATTCTGAATTGTAGTTTTGTTTTTTTCTTTAAATAGATTGTGAAGAACTGCCCTGAATCTTTTTATGAAGTGGACAACTTTGCCTATTTGGCAATGGAACTTTGTTTGGCTTACCTTTATAAAGTGTTTCAAAGGTACTGGAATATACCAAACATTTGAACTTATTTTTTTGTCTTTTAATTAAACTTTCTGATATCACTCCCAATTAGCTGAAGGTTCATACTTTTTGTGTTCTGTAGTAATACATCATCTCTGGACAAACCGTGGGAGGATTTGATTTCCGCATTATTTATCACCGCAAAAACACTTGTTAACTGTTTTCAACCAAAGGTGGGTAAGGTATCCACTGTTATATTTTCTGTGGCTTACAGATTAAAGATTACTGTCTTTGAGTTTCATTATGTGTTTGTTTATATTGCACAGGCATGCTTTCTAATGTTATAATTGCCTTGTTATTTTTTCATAATGACTGTTCGTTGCTAATTTTCATGTTTTCACTAATTGCGTGTTTTGAGATGCAGACACAACTAGTATCAGCGGCATTAGCGTTTCTTTTAATTGGTTACAAGGGAATCAGAGAAGCCTCTACTGAGTTTTGTTTCTCCAAGGTGGACGAGTTTTTCAAGTGCACAGGTCTATTATTGAAAAGATTTATTGATGGTGAGTATTCTGACAATAAAACTGATCTGACGAGTCTTTATTTATCTAATGTAAGTAAAAAAAGAAGATTGCTCCATTTCCTTTGTTGTCAAATTATTTTCCCACATAATTTTTCACATAAACATCCATTTGAGGCTCTTTTCCTGCCTTCCCTCTATATTCACGTTAAAGATTATGCCAAATTGTTAGTTAAACATTGGCTTCTTGATTAATAAAGTATATTCTGGCTAATCAAAATTCAAATTGCAGATAAATCTGGTGTTGGTGAAGATGGTATTCTTCATATGCGTAAAATACTGCGAACTTGTTTGAATGTGATCACTGACTTGACCAAGGATTGCATTAAGTGCATTCATCTGCAGGAGAATAAGAGCTCTGACTTGCACATATTACAGCAAACAAAGCTTGCTTTCTCTCTTGAACAAATTATATCATTTGCGAAGCTGGGTTATGAAATGGATTATCTTGAAGACAATACAGATGGTGATTTGGTCTATTATACTATGTTTAAATATTGCACCAAATGTGTCCAAACTGTACTCTCTGATTCAAATAGACAGGTACATCCATATGCATGCTGTATACCGTTATGGTCACTTTTTCCAAGCATGAGACAACTGAAAACAATTTTGTGCACAGGTTCAAACAATTGGGTTACAAGTGCTAAAAGGTTTGGTACAAAAATCCACAAATGTGGAGGACAGCACTTTTTCAATGCTTTTTGTTGGGGAACTTGCTGCCGATTTTTTTGTGATAATCCAGAATACATTAAAGGTGCTTCCGAATATCCTCTCAGATATCTTTTGCATTTACAAATTATAACCTTGTTTCCTTTTCTGTCTTTGATTTTGTAATTCTGAAGGAGCTCTACTTCTCTTTTCTTGACAGAAACCTGTAACTGAAAAATCAGCAACTGTTGCTGGTGAATGCTTAAGACTCCTAGTAGTGCTGCAAACACTTTCAAAATCTAGTGAATGTCAGAGAGGTTTTATGAATTTACTCCTGGAAGCCGTAGTCGTGGTTTTCAAGGCTTCAGAAGAAGGTTCTTCGCAGGTGATATGATAAGCAGCCTTCGAAATTTACATTGCATCTCATCACTTCTTTGACTGATGATTTTTTAATTATGCATCATTGACAGGAAATCAATACATTAAGAAGCACTGCAGTAAGGCTTGTTTCTCATCTTGCTCAAGTTCCTTCCTCAGCAGTTCACTTCAAGGATGTGTTGCTGTCTATGCCTGTAGCACACCGGCAACAACTTCAGGTGTCTTTTCCTTTTTGTTTCTTTGTGTACAATTACATACATGTTCATTACAAAAAATCTGAAGTTATATTATTTGTAAAGATTAAAATGAACATATGATGATTGTTGGGTGCTCTTGCTGTTGAAGATTGAAGACTGGTATTTTTTGATGTTGCCCTCGATATAATGTTACATTATTGGATAGGTCTTTTTCAAAAATTATATTTTTCAATGCGATCCCTTTTTCTCTTTCCAGGGGTTCATCCGTGCATCTGTGACACAAGAGCATAATGCAACACAGATGAAGCCCACAACTCCATCATTAGAGATTAAATTACCAGTGCCAACGGAGGCAAGTAAAGAGAAACCTCCTCCACCATCAGCCACCACAACACATTCGGTTTCTGATGATCAAAGAATTGAAGAGGAAGAAGAGGATGAAGATGATTGGGAAGCTTTCCAGTCTTTTCCTGCCACTACAAATGCAGCTGAAAGTGAATCAGAAGTAGAAAGCAAAATGGAAGAACCCGACCTGGGTGAGACAGTTTCTGTTTTGGAAGTGAATACAGGGAGTGATTATAATGATGGAGATTCTATTTCGGAACCTCTCCACAATGTAAAGGTGGTCAATGAGACAGGCCATCAAGAGGCTGGTGAAGGGGAGGTGATATCTGATGGTATGAAATTCCCACAGGGTGGTGTTATCGAGCCATGTGGTGATCAGCATCGGGAGAGAGATGAGGAAGTGGTGTGCAGGCAAGAGGGTACTGTAGCTGGGACGGACCAAATGACTGAACATATGCCATCTGAACTAAATCCTATTGAACATGCTGAACTATCAGTAGGAGTCAATATAGTGGACCATCAGGTGCAGGGAAAAGAGGAATTAAATGATAAAAGAGAAGATAAAAAAGAGGCAACCATCGGAAGTTATAGCCTTGAGCAGCATGAAGAGAGCAGTAAGGTTGAAGATTCGTTGGAAACCAATGACGATGGTGCTAAGCTAAAATTGTAGAAGTGTTATAATAACAATACAGAGTTTTTATGCACGTGTTTTGTTGTCGCTCAGAACACGAAGAAATGTACATTTGTTTGGTTCTTTTCCTTGTATTTTGGTGCATTTGTGATCTAAAGGAGAATTAGTCAGTTTTAGGCTCGACAGCACCACTAGTTTGGAAATCACTCAGAAAACGTTATTTTTAGCTGATTTTTTATTTTGGTTGAAGATTTATTACCTTCCAAGAACAATCATCACCCCTCGATTTTAGTTGCATAACAAGACAAACCAAAAAGAAAGAACTGAGAAATAATCCCCTTTAAACTCCATTCCATAGTTATAAACACTGAAAATCAATGTTTTGAAGAAGAAAAAATCCATGGACCCAATTGTTAGTCTTGTTTCTCACTAACATTAACTTCTGTAGCTTCATTAATTTTACTAATTTTTCTAACAAAGAGTGTTTATTGGTATTTTGAAAGTTTCCCCAAACTTCCATTTTCCTTAACTGGTTATCATCCACTCCACTCTTTGGACCCAAAAAAATAAAAAATCCTCCACTCCACTCAAACAGGCTCAAACCGGAATTAGGAGTTGAATGGACACTGAAGTTGAGGGGGCATATTCTGCCTTAGGGCTGAGCAACCTTGAATTCACTTATTATCATCATGATGTTGCAAATATACGTTTTTGACCTTTCAAACTGATACAATAAAGGCCTAAACCAAGGTACAGTTATACTAGATCAGATATTGAGTTACTATACATGAATATTTTACAATTCTCAAGGCAAATAAAGCAAATCAGCAATGAGGTGGTGCTTTTAGGAGACTTGAGCACCAAGGGTGAGCACATGGACGAAGCACATAAATGTACAACTGCAACAATCCATGAATGTCATGGCTCTGAAGAAGGCTTTGATAAGTATTGGAGCCACTCTTCAGGAGTTCCCTTTCTCATTTTCAGCATTTTAATTGCGGCACTGGTCAGCGGTATGGCAAGTATGTCATAGTCTTTCGGAGCCTGCGAGATCAGTTGGATGCAGTCTTGTAATCAAGTTTGTAGCCAGACTCACTTGTGTCATTTACGTTTAAGAAAAGATGTTATACCAAACAAGCTAAACATCAAAATACCTTGGGGACTTTAGTCAGCTTCATATTTGCTTCCTCTAATGTCTTCTGACCTTTCTTCGAGTTGCATCTTGCACATGCAGTGACCTGTTATGCATCAACAGGAGAACCACATCAGTAAAGATCATTAAGCTAGTGTTCAGAAGTGGTTTGTTAGGACCAAAACTACCAGAAACCACTTCACTTAAGGGCCTGTTTGGTAACCTTTTACATTTTGGTTTTTACTTGGCTGGCCAGCCAGCGGTAGTTGGGATTCTCCCGTTCCCTGGTCAAAGATTTGGTTGGATGCGGGATCGACTCCACAAGGAGCGGTACAGATGTAGATGATATCATCACGGCCTCTCTTTTTGTACCGCTAGGAATGCTTAACGTCACTTCGCCAACTCATGTTACCTGAGGTGTCGGATCCGCTCCCCATTCGGGAGGATTGAACACAATTTCCGTAACATCGACGCCTCTATCTCTAAAGAGAGACCAGCCAACTTCATTTTTTTGGTTAAAGATTGAGAGAAGACATACCGGAGAAGGGTACAAATACACATTATCCAACGCTCATTTTCTTCTACATCACTTGCTCTATCACAATACGGCTGAATGGTGAAAGAAGGATTCAGGAAGTAGGCCTCAGGTTGTTGGAATTCAGTCTTAAAAAGAGGAGAACGAAAAAAGAGAGCAGTATGTAAAAAAATCCAGTCTCATAATTAATTTTAGTAGCATGTAAGCAGCGAGTTGGGACTTATTTTACATTTTCTTTGCAATAAGTTCAAGTTAGACTTTCTCCTTCCAAAGCAGGGTTTCCAGTGGAATAGGGTGGAGAATGAAAAAGAAAAGGGAAAAAACAGCAACAAAATGCTTCTGCAATTCAGTGATCATGTGGCATCCATTATACAAGGTAGATGGAAAGGAGCATCCTCTCTCTTAGGGAGGTTTTGGATAAGCCCAACAGTAAATAATCTGTTGAAGGTCATGTACCCTGGCTCATTCCTGTTAATATGCTCTCATTACTGAAAGTTGAACTGTACTTTATATGATGCAGTTCAAACTTGTTATCACAATTAAAAAATGCAGAAGCTGAAATCCACTGCAAAACACAGTTTCTAATTTTAATTTAACTATTCGAGATCTAATGCCAACATGTCTCTCTCTTTCTCTCTCTCTCACTCACCCGCACACAAAGTGTGAGAGAATTAAGCACCACTCTGGCGTCTAGTCATTGATGCAAGAAGAATTTAAATCTTTAATGAACTGGTTGTCTTACCAGATTTTCCCACTTCCATTCTCCACCACGTACAATTGGCAAAACATGGTCAATAGTCAAGTTTTCACGTGAAGAACAGTACCTGTTGAGAAGACATGCAAAGTTAGTATTCAATATCTAAATGACCCTTCATAAAAAATCTAAATAACCCTTGGTTGAAATAAACATCTATTTAGTACTTCATGGCTAATAAATTTCCGTTGTTGATGATGGCCATGAGAACAGATCACTCAATTCTAAGCTATGTACTTCCTGTTTTACAATAGTCAGGATCGAGAAAGGTTATCCAGATGTCCCAAGGCAAAATCAGCAGTGTAGACAGAGAAGCCTAATGATGTGTATCATGAATTTCAATCTGTTAGATACTGATTATTAATGGTGAAGGATGTATGCTGTACATCATTATCAGTTTACCTGTCTATATCTGTTCTAGAACTCTAAAACCAGTACCTGCAGCTGGTGGTCTGTTGATAACGAATACTGTTGGTTGACGGCCTCAACCCTGAAAGTCTTGGGTTACCCAGCACTGAACCTGATGCATCTAGCCTTATAAAACAAGGATCTATTCCTCACCTTTACACCTCTGTTTTTCTATGGAGCCTTCTTCACTGAATTTTTTTGGGCAATTCCCTCTCTTTGCATTATCACAACTAAGGCATTTCACTTATCTAGCAGACTGATTTCTCCTTCTCTTTCCACTGCTCATACAATTTGAATACCTCTAGTTTCCTCATTAAGTAAACCTATCAATTTTTGAACTAATCATCAAGAAGCTGATAAACTAAACTAAACCGCCACAGGAAACAACACATAAAAGGCCCAGCCACATTAGTATGAGCATAATCCAAAACACCTTCATTGTGATGATATGTTGCAAGAACCTTTTTTGTTTGCTACCCACAGTATTTCTATAAGTCTAACTTCCAAGATTTCACATCATGCAACAAATTTCTCTTGTTATAACATCATTGAGATCTGAACACAATGTAGACCACACAGCACTATATCTCACAATGCTTTTCCTTCTAAAGGTTCACTAGAGGCCTGTTGGGCCTATGGGGGTACATAGAGATAATCTCTTTCATCCCATAACATCTCCCATCCCTGTTGAGGTGAGATTCAGTCCAAGGTCTTTGATATGACTACACGAGACTGTAAGAGCTAGCCTAGCTGCAATGTTCACTTGCTAGCCCCTGAGACGCATATGCTTAATCCAACTCTCATCTTATAAGACGCAACTATGTAATCAAATTAAGCACAAGAGATATGTGTACTTGATTCAGCAGCTTTAACTTGACTAAAAGGGTAATCTACTTACTGACAAGTGAAACTGTCCCGACATAGTATATTTTTACGACTAAGATTGTTCTTAATTCTTCTTCTCTTTACAATCTGCAGTAAATGTGGAACCTGGAACCAGAAGCAAATGTACTCAGTTCAAGTGAACTAGAACAAACAAGGGAAAAGTACCAAGAAGAAAGAAGCCAACGAGAATGCAAGTAAAAACATTGGTAAAAGTCATGCAACTCTATACCCTTAGGACAGCAGGTATGTAGAAGGATCCATTTGGAGAATTTACAGTCTGATCATAGTATTCAAGTACATCTGCCTGGTACAACATAAGATTTGAACCCAATTAAAACATGTATCTAAAGCAGGCATCATAAACCAATAGGAATCTAATCATGAATATGGCAGGTCCATTTGGTTTTGAAGGAGTGTTACTGTTTTATCCTATTTAACTGCAGAAAAACTGATCCTCTTTTTAAGTATCATCTGTTTTGGAAAAATATCTAACATGAATAAGTGAGCCATGGCAGTCCAACCTTCTCCATGTATTCCAAGCAAATAGCACGCTTCCAGCAGACAACATTAACTGGCCTGGCACCGTTGAACAACAATTAGAACTATGAGAAAACATATTTTCAAGCACTTGTAAAATGGTAGAGCGGAAAGAGGGAAGAAAACTCAAGAGCTTAGGATCAACAGTTTCGGCTTATGAATTGCCAACACATAAATACAAAAAACTAAAACTAAGACAAACTAAGAAATTGTGTCATCATCATCAGAAAAGAGTAGGCCCTCGACACAGCCAACAAAACGATGCACAATATACAATGCAGATATACTTGCTACAGGACCAACTGATGGTTATTGTACAATAAGCATTTCATGTAGATGAGCTTAAAGGGAAATATTAAATAAATGAAAAAAGAAGCAAGCTAGAGTGTATTTCGTGCATAATTTGCTGAATTTATGAAATTCCTATTCAACATCCAAACGAGTCAACATGACAACGGATTATAAAGTTGTGCGTCTATTTCTAGTTGAGGATTTTCAGTCCTCTGACTTGAACCCTCTGGAGAATTATTGTAGTTAAATAGTAATTTAGTTCAAAACCTCGACTTAAACATTCCTATGAGCTTCCAGCATTTTTTGGTGTATTGCAAAACATAGATCGCCAAACTTTATGGGCAGTCCAGAAAAAAAACTGTTTAAATTGTCTGCCATGGTTTGTCGACTAAGAAATTGTCTACATTAGTTGAAGCAACTAATTACAAATTTACAAAACTTGAAAGAATGAAACAAGAATGAAGCACGCATCCCATAAAGAGAAGTGAGGTGACCTGTAGGAGATATCCAAGACGAGGCCTCTGAAACAAGCCAACTCATCATCCCTCTCAAACTCGGAAGCATCGTCATGACCAGGACCAGCCTCATCGCCGCCAACAAACAAACGGGCCTCGGCATTCAGACGCTTTGCCTTGTTCATAGAAGAAGAAGAGTAAAGCCTAGTAGAATCCAGGTGTGGCCTGCCGAGCCTGCGGTTGTAGGTGTGGGGTTGGATTGATGTGAACATGTTGTTGTTAAATGGGTCTCCTTTTTGTTCCAATGCCACTCCCTCGCCATTAAAGAGCAACTTAACTCGCCCTTGTGCTGCAAACTGCGCCATCACTGAAGCTTATTGCTATTTCCTTCCACAGAGACAGTAATGGGTCTCTCTCTCTCTCTCTCTCCTCTCTCTCTCTCTCTGCAAATGTTTATTGGTTTCTTCTTCCTGAGATGAGACACTCAAATAATTATAGACAAATAAATAAGTCTCATCTTCTGAAACTGGAAGCGAAAAGCAGAGGAAACGAAATGTAGGAATTTTCCATTTTCCATTTCCATGGGGGAGGAAGGAAATAAATACACTCCACGGAATAAACCGTTGCCACATGTTTTTTGTGTTATTTCTTTTGTTTCGTTCCACTCCCTCTCGGAATATCTTCTGGCATATTTATAGTCAAATTCACAAATTTTTCACTCCATTATTTGCTATTGGTAAAATCAACTTTCTTGGTAAAATAAGACCTCTAAATACTTCCCTATCGCCCTCTTGTAGCCTTTCTCTCACTCTCTCTCTCTCTCTGGTTTCCTTGCTTCCTGCTCTTCTCATCTCTGCTTTCTCTAGTCTATCTGAAATTTCAGAACGGAGGAGGAGTCTCTCTCACGAACTCTGGGTCGCTCTCTGTCCTACCTGTGCAAGGTAACAAATCTCTTTCTCCTATTCCTCTTCTCTTTCTCGCCCTCTCTCTCGCCCTCTAGCCCTTCACTTGCTGTGTTTGGGCGTAGTCTTAAGTTGCTCAGTTGGGTCTCTCAAATATGAATTTGGATTATCTAAAGAGACCAAATTGATGAAATATTTTTCTACAGCTGTAATGAAAGTTTAATTTATGTTAGTATTAGAGCTTTCTTTTCATGTGCTTTAGCGACTGATGAAAGTTGAATTTATATTTGTTTTTGGGTAAAAAGTTTAGAGCTTCCTTTTCTTTAGCCGAAAGCAGTCATGTTGGTAGTTATATCCTATATTAACATCACATAAACTAAAAGCCCATACAAAATGAGCATCCTCAATTTTGGTTGGCAGCTTCAGTATCATATTTCCTATAGTTGATAAGATCCTTGATAAACTCGGTCTGCATAGTATTATCCTTAGTCATATGTTGAGCCTTATAAATTGAGGAATTTTGTGTTGCTTTTTTTACAGTTGCATCTTACGTTGGACCAAAGTTGTTGCTCACAAGCAGTCTTGCATGCCTACTTCTGTAAAGTGCTCTCTTTGCAAGGCCAGTTTGTTCATATGACATTCAATTTATCGAATTCTGTTCCATTTTGTTTCTTATTCTGCGAAAAATTGCTGATCACACTAATGTCTGGGTATTACTTCTAAATTTAGCCATAGTGCTGATTTTTAGTGGCTTGGTGCAGACTGAAACATGGATATGGTGGAAGTTCTTTTCAGAAGCATTACATCAACCAGAATTGTGGGTATGGGTTCTGTTGTTTCTGTTGTTGTTTCTTTTCTTTTATTTTGCTTGTGTCTGTGTTGCAAACGTAATATTTATGTATGTTTCTATAATGAATTATGAGTTTGAATATGAAACATAGGAATTGGTTTTGTGACAATTTATTATGCAGTACCTTGATGAGAACAAATAGTTTATTCTGGCAATATTGGATAATCAAAACCTTGAAAAACTTGCTTAGTGTGCCCAATAAGTCCTCTCTCTCTCAAACACACATGCTTTTATTTTATGTTTGTATTGTTTCTAATCTTGATTATGAGTCATCTTATGTGGACACTGAAATCTGCCTTCATGAGTATTTTTATCTTGGATATAAAGAGCAGTGATTTTTTTTTTAATTTTGTATTTTAGTCTTTTTCTGACTTCTCTGTCAAATTCTTTGATAAGCCTAAAAACAACACAATGAAGTAAGATTATGTCAAACTCTTGCAAAAAAAAATATATAGAATACTGAATTAGTATGCATATATCAGCATAACAAGCAGATGATGTTCACTACTGGTCAACTATACCAAAGACGACAACAGACAAGCTATGTGTATCACTTATGCAACAACAGAAATAGATATAATAACAATACCTGGCAGAAGATGGAAGAAATCAAGACAAATACAATCTTAGCAAAACTCATGAAGCCATCTGAATGCAAATAATAATTCCTAAAAAAAAACTTTAAGAAGATAGAAACCTTCATTTCTTAAGAGAATAGTAAATAAACAAAGAAACCAATGAAAGAAACAAATTGCAACAATAAACTGTGACTTTTTTTTTTATAAAGAACATGGTGGCACACCTTGAGGCCACTATGGAAGAGGTGAAGGCAGAGAGAAGGGCTCTGGCTCAGAGCAATCATAAAATCTTAGTCAATTGCTCCAACACCAAGACTCACACCCAAACATCTTAGCTATACAATACAAGCTATGCCAACTCCAGTTCTGTGGCGAATTTGGTGCTTCCACAGCTAAGAACTCCTTTCTAAAATTTCAGAGAGAGCAGAGAGAACATACTAACAAATAAGAGAAGATGTTAGCGATTTCAAAATGAGAAAGAAAAAAAAGTGAAAAAAGGGTGATATGCGACCAATAGGAAGTATTTATAGGTCCTATTTTACCAAGAATATCGAAAGGATTCTATTTTACCCAATTTCCCAAATATTATTAAGGCACCTAGGCTACTGGCCGTGTTAGTTTGGTCGCCCCACTCAAATTTGAGTTTTCTTTCCAATTTGGCATACCAGCTCTCTCTCCCTCTCCCTCTCCCTCTCCCTCTCCCTCTCTGTCCCCGACTTTACATGGAAAATGGCCTCCTCCACCTCCTCTATCTTTTCCCCCAAACACCCGATGCTAATGAACACCATAGCCGCCGGAATCTTCTTTGAAAAATCAGGCCAAAACGAATGATATGTTTTTGTTTCTATTATGCAGTTTATGATTGTTTCATACTGAATTCTAAGCTTGAAGGATTTGCTTCTAAGATGCAGTTTATTATCCATTTTATATAGATGGAAGAAGGATAACTTTTCAATGTCAAATTGCTTATTACTATTTGATAGGATTTTTTATTGTAGATATTTGAGTTTACAAACAAAGCGTGGATTAAATTTCGTTAAGGATTGTTGTTTATTTTTTGCAAATTGCATTCATCTCATTTTTTTAAAGATAAGTGAATGAATGCTTGGATTGGAGGGACACAACCTTTTTGTTCTATCTAATTTCCATATGTATAATTTTGTTGTGTAGGAATTTGAAGAATGGGTTCGAATGTAAAGCTCATGATTGCGGAGAAGAACAAGTTTCACTGAAATGCGTTGTCTCTATCATACAAGAAGACCGTCATTACTGCAATCAAGGAGAAGTTCAGTTCAGAGCAGTTGGAAAGGTTTAAGGGTAGTTGTTTTGGTCATCTACTACTCATTGAGGACCTAAAGTGGACTCCACAAATTGTCCATGGGCTGTTGCTAAGAAAGGTTGATCCGAAGACAGTTAAAACCGTGAAAGGTATTACATTCTTGGTTGGTAATAAGTTGATACAATTCACGAAGCAACAGTTTTGCTTCATCATAGAGCTACGGTTTGGAAACCTCCCATTGATTCAGAATCCCACTAATGAAAACTGCGCTTTGAAGAATAAATACTTCCAGGAGAATAAAACTGTGAGCCTTTGGGAACTCAAAAAAGCATTCAAGGCTTGCACTGATAAGGAGTATTTAGTGAAGCTTGGTTTTGTGTATTTTGTTGTATTTGTATTGTTGGGTACCGCTAAAAATGTCAACATGGACATGAGGTATTTGAAGTTGGTGGAAGATCTTGATGCGTTTGAGAGGTATCCTTGGGGCGCTGTGTCATATGCAAAGACACATGAGTCACTTTCGAGGGCACTTTATGCGGATTACCATCGAGTTAAAGTACCCCAAGAAACTCAAAAGAAAGCAGAGACAACGACAAGTGGTATGATTAGTGAGTACCATATTAAAGGGTTTGGATTTGCTTTTTAGGTAAGCAAATATCCATCAATGTTTAACTTAAATTTTGATTGTTGACATTGAGGTGCATAATTTATGGTTCAGTGTTAAAAACAGATATGGGCTTTTGAAGTGTTCCAGCTTTGACTCGACTGCATTATGTTGTGCACGAAGAAAATGCCCTCCACCCACACATCTTACATTGGAGGAGCAATAAGTTGGCACGTTATAACAAGCTAATGTCTCATGTATATGAAAACATTGAGGTTAGTAATGGTTATGTTATGCATATGATTATGGTATTATGTGGATTTGATCGGTGCCAGTCCTTAAACCTAAGACCTGCTAACTCTTAGTTGTATCACAAAGCTAGCAAATCTAGGGAATCGGCATGTTATGCATATGATTAATTTATAATTATATTGAAAAGTGTACTTTGTGTTTCAATTGCAGGTTGATGTGAAATTCATCCGTCCCAATCAAATTGAGAAACAAAAAGCTTATTGGATTTGGGGTGATGATGAAGAGGATGAAGAAAATGTTGAAGTGTATGACGACACAAAGTCCCTTGGTCATGGTGGTGACGATCATGGTGAGGGTGTTGAGGATGGGCAAGAAAATACAACCATTGGTATAGAAGAAGATACTCTGGAAGTTCAAGAAACATCTAGCCTTCCATCGTCTTCGAATGTATATGACCATAACCTTTTTGCAATATATAGGCAATAATAAACATAATTGTGGTGATATATTGTCAATCTATAGGCAATACAATAGCAATGAAGTCACAATAGTCGTGTTATATATTACAGAAATATATAACAGTTGCATTATATCTTTTTGCAGGGCAATGGTAAACTCTCTTTGACTTACTGTTGTGATTTGAAAAAGGAGTTACAAAGTACAAAGGATGAGTTGCAAAGAGCAGCTGCTTCAAATCGGGCGTTTAGGAAGAGAGTGTGTGACTTGGAAGGGAGGATAGAGAGTGAGTCTTTGAAAAATAAGAAGGCTGTTGTGGGTTTCAACAAGATCGTTGCTTTGATGGAACATCATTTTATGTTGGTGATGGAGGAGTTGAAAAAAGCTTATGGTGTGTTGAATCGACCTGCTGAAGGTCATGAAGAACCACGTACTCTTCGGAACAAGGAAGAAATGGATGACGTGGCCCCCTCACATGAGCATATTACTCAGACTACAAAGATTGAAGGAGGTGATGCATCAAGGCAGGAGCCTAGAACCATTGTTGCAAAGGCGGGTGTTGACATAACCGAACCAATGCTTTCGACTATGAAGGGTACTAGTCCTAGCACAGAGATTAAAGGACCCGATGTTTCATCAAACCCTGCTAAGAATGCTTCCTCTGGTTATACCCCAGATGATGGAGATGCCTCCGCAAGCACGAAAGTCCAAGGGGCTGAAATGGAAACAAAAAATCCTGAGAAAGAAGTTGAGCAAGAAGCAGGGATTCTGCCTACACCTGAAGATTTCTGGGGGTGCAAAGTCCTTTGCAAAAAACTTTTAGAGTTGCTAAAGGATTGGCAAAAGGAACCCGGAATGGCGTTGGGTACAATTCCGATGAGGCCTCCGATCGGAAGCGATGCTACTGTGGCTGGTGATAAAGCGAACGCGGAAGGTGGTGTCACAGTTAAAAAACTGGACGCGGAAGGTAAAGGGTGTAGGAAGAAGCAGCCAATAACTGGGTTGTTGAGTCCCTTTATCGGTCCTATGGGAAAAAAGAGGAAGCTCACTGTTTCGGAAGGCACTCACTGCTTTTAATCCAATAAAACCCATTCCCATTGAGGATGTCAAGGCTGTAATAGACTTCTGCACCACTTGGAAAAGCAATATAAGGTTAGGATTTAAAATTTTGGTATATTGTCCCCTTCTTGTTTTCTTTAATTTTTTTGTCTTTTTGGTTTGCAAATTTTAATTTTGTTTCTAATAATTTGGACACCCATGCTATACAATAATGTCATTGCATTTGACATGAAATGGTGTGAGAATAAATTGCAACACTTTGATGTCTATCTGTTTGGAATGTTATTATGATCATTCCTAAGCATTAGGCCAATTTTTTCCATTTGGATTTTGATCCTTGGCTGCAGATCAACAGCATTCTAAAAAGAAGTGGTTTGAGGGAATGCCTTGGAGTTCTGTATTTGTTTTTACGTGTTGGCACCTTTGGAAATGGCGGAATAGGCGTGTGTTTAGTGGAGCTGATGATCTAGCCTTTAATCCTCATTAGACTTTTGTGTGCTTCAGTTATGGAGTGGATTAAGGCTCTGTGAATCAGAAGAGGACTGATGTGACTCAACTCCTTTTGGCTTGGGATCTTCCAGCTGGTGGTCAGTTTAAATTAAATGTGGAAGGTTCTAGAAAGACAATTTCATGTTGTATTGGCGCAGGGAAGTCATCAGGGATTCTAAAGGTGACTAGGTTTCTGGTTTTGCCATCAATTTAGGGAAATGCCAAATTCTAGAGCAGAAGTCTGGGGGCTTTTCTTTGGTTTGAAATTGGCTCTTGAAAAAGGTCTCAGAGATCTAGCCATTGAAATGGACTCTTCTCTAGTTGTGAAACTGTGTCTGAAACCTTCTCTCCTTGGTTTGCACCCTATGGCCTCCTTGATTGATAGTTGCTGTGATCTTATGAAGCAACTTGGTAAATGCACCCTCAAGCATATATATGGAGAGAAGAACAGAGTTGCTAACGCAACTGCCAACTGGAGCTATAATTTAGATTTAGGATTGTGCACTTTTGACACAGCCCTTAGTTGGATTAGCTCTTGCTTAGTTGACGATGTTCTAGGTGCCCTTAGAATTAGATCGGTCTGTTTAGACCAGTGTGATTAGTTGGTTTGTTTCTGGGTTGTTACCCCACCCCCCCAAACCCCTCCAAAATAAAAATAAAAATGATAGTAGTTGCTCGCTTCATGTAACCTTTCGTAACATTTCCATGTATACGATAGAATCTTTTAGTCAATACCTCCTCAGGTTGAAGCCTTAGATTTATAAACCAGCATTTTTTGTTATTGTAGTGCGGAGGTGCGGCTCGAAGCGATGGCAGTTGGGCAAGAGTTTTTCTACAAACTCATAAATGATAGCCTTTGGATGACCTCATCGGTAACAGTTTCAATCTTGCTTTAATTTTAAAATTAAATTCACTTGTCTTCTTTACTATGTGTACATGCATATTAAAATAAGCTGTTATTATCTACCTCAACTGGCGGCACCTTGACATGGGGATGTTTCTGATACGCAAAAGGCAATTTGCTCATCCGTTGGCTGTTGGAACTGACTGGATGACTGCTGATTGTTGTCTGCAAGTAAGAACGTGTATATGTAGTTCAATTTAATGTATTTTCTGTATTGGTGGAAGTATTGGGTTTTATTATGTTAGGTGCATTTGTGCCTTATTATGTTATGTGCCTTCAAATTGTTTGCAGGCATTTTTAGAACCAGTAAAACTGCCTCTGAAAAAGCGAGGATCGAAGAAACAAGATGTTAGGGTTACCGAGGACTCTCCACTTCAATGCCAGGCCAAAATAGAGCTGTATGTGCAGGGACTTTGGAAACATGGGTATGCTATACCATGGACCAAAGTCGGCAAGGTGTATGTCCCCTTCAATCGTAGTCACTGTGTATGACTCCTACGTTGATTTTACTGCTCAGAAGAAGGTGGTACAATTTCTTAAGCCTATTAGCCATGCACTTGCACGTATTCTTTATGATATGCGATTTTATGAGAGTTTGGAGCTTCAGGAGGTCAAGAAAATGGCGACTCAGAAGCCGAACTTTGAGGCATGGACAATTTGCAGGCATGGAGATGTTCCGCAACAAGCTGATGGGTAAGGTGTAGTAATTTAGTGGAGTTCATATTTATGTTTGCTTATTGGCTGGACAGTGCTTCATGCGGAATTTTTGCAATCAAATTCATTGAGTATGCCAGTGCCGGGTTTCCATGTCATACAATTGACCCTTCGAAGGTTGCCTATTACCGATTGAAACTCGCAATAGAGGCTTTGAGGGAGGAGGCTTATCTCTGAGGTTTGAGGCTTAGTGTTATTACATATTATATCCATCTTTTTTCCAACTTTCAAAAATACATCCTATGTATCAGTTATGCGGCTTAGTGGTACAACATGTGTTATATTATAATTGGCATTTTGATTTGTATGGTGGAGGGCTAATATTGCAAATGTTTTATACAACATGTTTGATTTGTATGGTGGAGGGCATTTTGATTACATATATTTAATCTCGACCGTTGAATTGTATGTATGTTATATATTAAATTTACCAACACATCTAATGAATGCAATCCAACAGCCGAAATTAAAATATGTAACCAATCCTTAATTTAAGTACTTATTGGAGATACATACCAATCCTTAATTTAAGTACTTATTGGAGAATCTCCCGATAGTACCATAGGTTGTTTACAAGCACAATTACATAACTCATGTTAACCTTGACTGGTTCAACTTCAACATATGCGTGCGACTCTGCGAGCTAGCTTTTTTTTCTTTCGGAGGTATTTCTGGCACAAGTTTTTTAGCTTGAGAAAACCCAAGAGGGAGTAATTAGATGGAACTGATTCTCTTTTACTAAGCGTTTATTAGTAGTAATTCAATATTATTATTAGGTAACACGAAGGCGACTGCAGGGACCCGAATACTGCTCTCTCTCTCTCTCTCCCCACTAATGCAAAGCTTTTATTAATTTAATTCCTTTTTTTCGTCACTCTTCTATTGATATCCACAAATTGCAAACTTAGTCCAGCAGAATGAGTTCCAACAAGTGAAGTTTCTATTCTACTATCAAAATTGCAAGTTCTTATTTATGAACTCCGGGATCACAATCTCATCAATCCTGGCTTATCTGCCACTGACAACGAAGCTTTCAGTGTAAATCTTAACCCTTTCTTTCTACACCCAACCAGAAAATAAGCAAACAAAAACTAAAAAATAAAAATGTGTTGCAATGTAAATTGCCAACGACATCACCGGAGCTACGTTGAGAGATGTGTCTGCCAGCAACAGCTAACATGTGTAGTAAGTATGATCTAAGAATAAGATAAGAGGAACCAATTAGCAATATAGTACTAGAAAAACATCCAAAATTAAGATTTCATCAAGCAACAGATTTTTTGTTTTCGCTCTTGGGAGTGAGGGAGACACACCATTGCTCGACCTTCCTGAACTCTGTGAGGACAGGGGATGTGTTCTCAAAGGCCTTATACGTGTCCTCTCTTACCTAAGAAAGACAATCAAATTAAACAAATCTCTATTTGCAAATGCAGGAGAAATAAACTAGAGGAAGTGGACAAGAAAAGGAAAATCACCTTCGCACCCGTAATAACAATTTTCCCTGCAAATATAAGAAGAACAATCTTCGGCTGCTTCATGTGATAGATCAGCCCTGGAAAAAGTTCCGGCTCATACTGCACCAACATAACACAACATAAAGCATGACAGCAGAATTTTTCAGCCTGTTAGGTCTATCATTTAGTCAAAATTTTAAACTGCCAAAAATCTGTTTGTTCCCTATGATTCAGGTGGCCACATACATTGTCGCATCATAATGTTGTTTCAAAGCAAGGGTTGTGTCTAGGATTCATGTATTAGGTAAATAATAGTAGTCCTTGTGTTGGTTGAATGTATGTATGGATTCATTGTATATCTGAGAGGGAGTCATGAATTACATTTAGTAGTCAGGCTAGTAGAGCTTCTTAAGTAGGCTTGTAAGCCTTTATTTTGGGACATGAATGAATTTGCAGAATTCTCCAGCAAGCATTTGTTTATCTGTAGTATGTGTGATGCCCAGGACAGATAGTCAATAGACAAGAATTATGAAAGGGAAAACAAAATCAATACACACAAAATAAAAAGCTTAAAAATTACATCAAGTACTGACATGAAATACAAAATCCTGGGACAAATAGTCTTGACTTACACTTGAAAAGGCCCCATGGGAGAGTATGCAAGACACTCGGTCTTATAGGGAATTTAACATCACAGGAGCCAACAATATTTTGAATCATGAAATCCTGATACTCATAAAAGCATGTATTAACAAAACAATCAAAAATATAAAATATATAGGGGACTTGCTCTAAATGGTTTTACAAGAGAGAGAGAGAGAGGAGAGAGAGAGAGAGAGGAGAGATATATATATATATGTATATGCCCTTGCAACCTTTTAAAGATTCACTAATCTAACTAAATGAAATGATAATTATGTAAAGGATAATCACCAATGACCACTCCTGATTGTGATCAGTAACGAAGGACAAATTATTTTCCATCAGACTCACAGTACTTGAGGTTGATACTAAATCTTTTTAATTAAACAAGGGTAAAAGTCCATTGTCACTCTACTATGCCTAAAAACACATCAAAATATATGAAAAATCCCATATATATATATAGAACTATTTTTTTTTATAATAGTAACAATCTGTGAGGAGCACGCAACATCTACCTTCCTTGCTGCCACTTCTGATAGAAACAAATATATCTTGCCATCTTGAGCATCAAAAGTTGTAAATTTCAGCTTCAAGGTACTGTAAATTTTTTACAAAACATGCAACCCAGAAAACCAAAACCAATATCAAACATAAGCTTCAATTTAGACTTAATTATCAAAATTAGCTGATGACAAAAACAGAATTTATGGCGAAGAAAAAGGCAAAATACATTACTAATACTTAGCATGACAATTAACAGAGTCATGTATGTGGAGTTCCAAACACATATCAACAAATACATAATCATGTCTGAACTGTACCCAAATAGACATGTCAACAGATAATAGCACAATCAATTGGATTATGATATGAAAAACATAACAAGAAGTAGGATAAACTGTTCTTTCAGATCTCATATGGTTCCAAAGGTGGGACTGAACAGGAGCCTGAGAGATTCAAAAGCATACCAGTTCCAAAAAATTTAAAGAAACAAAATTAGGAATAGCTGAAATGAAATCATGCAGTTATCAGCAAGTTGAATAGCAGAAATTTCTGGAGAGCTCACCATCTTCCCAGAGGCAAAAATCAACGCTGTAGTTTTTGGTTCCCTTATTCTAAGAATGATGGCGGCAAAACGCTGCAAGAACATTCAATTAAAAAGAAGTTAGTACTCAATTCTCCTAAATGTCTAAAGCACCAGAAAATAAGTCATTGTATGTTATTGACACAATTTAAGTTTTCTGGAGATAGATCCATGTGTTTGTTCCAGGGGGATGAGAGAGAGAGAGAGAGAGAGAGAGAGAGAGTTCGACAGAAATTAAACCAATTTTATAAGAGGCTCAGGAATCACTGAATGCTGGACTCAGCAAAGAAAGTCAGTCTTTACTTTGAGTATTAGCATCACATCTGAGTCAACTACTGCCTAAAGAACCCACTATAACATATTTCGGTAGAGTGAGCTACCAACACTCAACTCAACTGTCAATACACTAAAGAAATTAATTATACACAAAGTCTTGTGTACCTTGGGGTTGTATTCTGCGTTCCGAGCTTGCAACGCAATTTGCCTGAGATCCAGCCTGCAACCAAGTAAACTGTAGATACGATATTCTCACAGGGCCTTCCACACCGATTGGTTTGTGAATGTTAGCCTCAATCATGATAGAACTTCAAATCCACCATCAGCCTCTGACTGGTCTCCAAGTGTTTCTGTTCCAGGATGCTGCAGGTGGCAGGCCCTCTTTTGGTCCAAGCTTACTTCTTTTCTTTACCCCTTGTGACAAAAATAAATAAATCATATTCTAGCTTAAAAAGTTGAAGAACCTTGAAGAAAAGAACAGTATCCGACTTACTTTTCCAGGGCTTTAAAAATAAGTAAGACAGTCATCTCCTGGAGTGAGCATCAACAATTGTCACCAAGTCCTTAAAAATTCAAATTCCAAAAAGCGGCAGTAGCTGGCAGAAATTGGTCACGGAAATTTGAACTGGTCCAAATATCCAAGCTAGTTCACATGACAGAAGCTTTGTTTTGTTTGTCTGATAAAGTATGTTAAGAGTTAACATGCTATAGTTCTAGATAGACCTATTAAAACATGTCACTAGCTAACAGAGTCACTAAAGATTTAACGAGCCATGGTCCCTAAAATTCTGTGCAAATAGCAATAGAAGGAAATTGCTGGTTATAGAATAGTTCATACCATGGTCTTCTATTAGAGGAAACTTGAATCGACTCAATCATAGGACAATAAAGTGATTTGAAATCCTTGATGGAAACATGGATTCCGGCAAGCTTTTGACAATCTTACCAGTAATCTCTACAAGAACACACACCATCTTTGAAATGATGAAAACGATAAGCATCCCGTACTATGATAGTTCGATCCGAAATCTTTGACATGTACTTGATCCAATTATGGCAATCATTACAAACACGAAGATTCTTAATTACGCGTATAGGGATCGTATTAGATAAGCTGAGTAGGCCAAAAGAGATTGCCAATTTCTCACTGTGAATATACTCTGTTGGATCTTTCTGCTGCTGATCTATTTCATTCCAAAGGTTGTAGCGGTCTTCAACATAACCAATTTCAGCTGCCCGCTCATTCAAATCCCCTAAGAATTCATAAATCTTATCTGCAAGCGGGTGCAGTTTGTCACCAACAAAGAATGCATGAACTGAGTTTTTTACCTCAATCCAGCTACGACCAGGCTCTTTCTTCACACCCCTTTCCTTCATTAATTTCCTCGTCTGATCCCTACAACCCCACATTCCTGCTACTGCATACATATTTGATAGGAGAACATAAGTTGCTGAGTCTTCAGGTTCCAGTTCTAGAAGATGATGGGCAGCAAACTCTCCAATTTCTGTGTTCTTATGAGTTATACAGGCACTTAAGAGCGTCCTCCAAATCATTGCATCTGGTTTCATTGGCATCTCCTTTATAAATTTCTTGCAGAGCTCAAAGAACCAGCTCGCCCTAGAAGATCAACAACACAAGCATAATGTTCAGGCTTAGGCACTAACCCGTGCTCTTTGCTCATGGATTCGAAGTAACCAAGCCCTTCATCTACCAAGCCTACATGGCTACAGGCTGAAAGTACTCCCACAAATGTGACGTGGCTTGGCGCTATACCAAGTTGTTTCATCTCCTCAAATAGATGTATTGATTCAACACCGCGCCCATGTTGAGAATAGCCAGTAATCATGGCATTCCAAGAAATCTCATTCTTTTCAGGCATTTCAGAAAACTCTTTATTGGCATCATTAATGCTACCACACTTCGAGTACAATGTGATTAAAGCATTGGAAACCTCAGTTCAGAATTCTTCCCAGTTTTTATAATTGCAGCATGGATCTGCTCTCCTTGTTTTATATTGCTAAATTAGCAGCAGCACTAATTGCAGAGCCAAATGTGAACAAATTAGCTTCTACTCCAGCTTTATTCATCCGATTAAATACCTGCAGTGCTTCCTCAAAGTACCCACTCTGTGCAAACCCAGATATCAATCCATTCCATGATATATTATCTTTAGCATCAATTGCCTCAAATGCATGGTATGCTTCCCATATTCTACCACATCTGGCATACAGGGTAACAAGTGCATTTCCAACTGACAGGTCATCTGAACAACCAGAGACACACGACTGAGCATGAATTTGTCTTCCTTGATTGAGTGCTTGAATACCAGCACATGCACTTATTGCACTTGAAAATCCTATGTTGTCAGATCGAATTCCTCTCTTTTGCATTTCTTCAAAAAGTATAAGAGATTCCGAAAATAAATCATGCTGTGCATACCCTGCGATCATAGCAGTCCAAGACACAACATCATCCTCAGTGAGTCTACTGAGAATTTTCAGGGCAGTATCCAATTCCCCATGCTTAGCATACATATCAATAAGCACACTGCAGACATAAACATTGAAATGAAAACCAGTTTTTATGACTTGAGTATGTATTTGTTCTCCTAAATTGAGAGCCCCGACAGAGGTACAGGTTCTCAGAATACTAGGGTAGGTGTATTGATTAGGAATCATGCCCTCAATATGCATTTGCCTAAAAATATGAAATGATTCATTAAGATCATCTAGCTGACCATAAGCAACTAACATCACATTCCACAGGACAACATTTTCTGTCTCTGTAGTAAGGAAAAATTCATAGGCAGTTTGCACATCTGAGCATTTCACATAAAGATCAAGCAGAGAGCCTTCAAGGATGATGTCTGATGACATTCCCGCTTTTATTGCAAGTGAGTGGAGTTGTGTACCCTTATGCAGAGCACCAACATCTGCGCAGGCACTCAAAAGACTAGCAATTGTAACACAGTCTGGTTCCAAACAATCAATCTGCATTCTTTTGAACAATTCCAATGCTCTATCACTAAACCCACGCTGAGCTAGCCCAGAGATCAGTGAGTTATAAGATACTGCATCCCTGTGGATCATTGTTTTGAAAATTTCTTCAGCAGATATGAAGTTCCCTGAGCGGGAATATAATGTCACAAGTGCATTGCATACATAAGTTTTCGCAAGAAAATCCCCCCTTGAAAATAAGGCCGTGCAGCTGTGCTCCCATCTCAAATAACTCTATTTTGGTGCAGGCACTTAGTACGCTCGAGAATACATAAGGAGTGGGTAAAATTCCTGATGTTTGCATCTGAATGAATAAGAGAACTGCTTCTTTTTCCCATCCATTCTGAGATAAACCAGAAATCATGGCCACCCAAGAAACACTATCCCTTAGATATAATTTATCAAAGACCTTTTTAGCATAATCCACATACCCCTTTTTGGCATACAAATCAATTAAGGGATTACATACGAGCAAATTAGTACCAAAACCATGACATATAATCCTTGTATGAATCTGTTCAACATATTGGAAACGGACATTACCCCCACCACATGCCCTTAAAACCCGGGCAAATGTGGTCTCATCAGGATGCACATTATCTACTATCATTCGAGAAAAGAGATCCAATACGTGGCTGGTCAACTTCTTTGCAAGAAACCATGAATGATGTTATTCCATGAAAATGAACTTCTGTGGGGCATGTCATCGAAAACCTTAACCGCACCATCTAAATCACCACAGGCAAGATAAGCATCAGTGAGGCCATCACATATTACCTGTTCTGCATCAAAACCCAGCTTCAGAATCGTAGAGTGAAGCTTCTTAGAATCTAACAAGGACCCAGAACTTGAGCACCCTTTTAAAAGCCAATATAAGTCTGACAATTAGCTCGAACGCAATGTGCTTCCACCGAATGCAGGAATTCAATCCCATTTGGATACTTTCATTTTGATGAACTAGACTACCATCGAAGATATGGGCTTTCGCAGCTGCATTACTATATTCTGCCGAGCTCAACCTTGTGACATTCCCACAAAACCACTGCATAAAATTTCGAACATTAAAGAGAAAACGAGAAGACCCAGAAGACATTAAAAGATGGCGATTGGTTTGGTGCACGAGAGAATTACAAAAGAGAGAATGATTACCTTGTGAGGATTGATAAATGAGGTGGGTTTCGTTGTGAGAGTGAGTTGGTTTCTGAAATGACGCGGGAAGCGATGGGAAAACAGAGGCTCAGGGAATTGGTTTAGAGTGAGCATCAAGGATCTGAGACACCCAGACCCACTCATCTGTGAACTGTCATGGAACTGGTATATGAGAATGGGAATGGGGATGGAACGCAAGGAAAATAGATGATAGAGTCAAGCACAATTCTATTGCATCACCTCACCATTTTCTGGTTGTATGATTCCCAAGAACCCATTAACTGCAAATGTGAAACCAAATTATATGCTTTCTCAGACATTGCCATATCATACCATTTTGGAGAGTGGTAAATGAAATATATTGGTAAAGCTAAGGAACAATGCTAATTTCCAAACCAAAACCAAACTGAGTCAATAGAATTCAATAAGATTGAGAAAGAGAGAGAGAGAGAGAGAGAGAGAGAGAGAGAGAGAGAGAGAGAGAGAGAGAGAGGCTTACCTCGAGATGGTGATAAGTAATGAACAGAAATCACAGTCCTGGTGTTGTTTGACTTCTGATGTAACTTTGTACATAAATGAAACCATCAGCACCACCAGGAAGTAGTAAGAAACTAAATACAGTAAACAAACAAGAAACATATGTTACAACCAACGGGGCAGCTCCTTGGAGTTTCGCTGTAATTTCTCCCATCTTCCCTTCTTGTTTGTAGTTTGTAGGGTTGTAGGGTTGTAGAGTTGTAGAGTTGTAGGTTTGTAGCCACTCCCGCTCTGATTACTTTACAACCACACACTTGCAGAGTTGCAGTTGCAGAAGATGATGGATGGAAGGAGGGAGGGATGCGGGTATCAGCGGCGGTATGGCTTTGAGGTTTAAGATATTCACACCTTCATCTTTTTTCTTACCTTAAATTTTATTTTATTTTCATATTCGCACTTTCATCTTTTTGTCCAATTCTTAACTTAATTAAGAATCTCTCTTAATAAGACGCATACGCTCACACGTGTGTCAATTGATTTTTCTTTTATTTATAGAATTAAAAAAAGATAATAGGTATTTGTGTTCTATAAAATATGACATATTATCTAATTTTGTTTTATTTTTTAATTTTTTAAATATAAAAAATTGTGAATTTACCTTATTATTCTCACTTAATTAATAATTTCAACCCCCTTCAAAGAAAAATTAGTTCTTAAGTTTGATTAACCAATGACATTTTCTGGAATTTTGAATGCTTTACCATTCTTTCCCTTTTGCCTTATATAGATCATAAGTGGGACTAGGGAGAAAGAATTAGAGGAGGTTTTATTTTATTTTGATTTTTAAACTATTAATAGTTACTATTTTACCTTCGTTATATTATTTAATGTAAATGCACATAAAATTTGGTAAAAAATATTCTATTAAATAATTGTAAAATACATGCAATTCAACGGGCGAGATTAAAAGTATGTAAATAATCCTTAACATAAAATACTTATTGAAGAAGAATCTTCCTGTTATTATTTGTTGTTGTAGTTGTTATCATTGTCATTATTTTTATGGTTAATATGTTTTTGGTCACTGAATTTTAAACAAAATTGGTCACTGTATTTCCCAAAGTTTACAATTTATAGACACTTGTTATCTTCCGTTAAGTGCAGTTTTAATTTTTATTTTTTTTTAAAAGCACCTTCAATCTTCCTCTTATAACTCAATGAATTAGGGAATATTGTCTATTAGGTTTTAACAAATTGGGGTGAATCTTGGGTTGAAATCGCAATTGTGAGGTATAAGGAAAATCAAAGGGCCAAACCAAATTAAAATGAAATCAATAACTTACCAATATATTTTGGTGCTCTACCTTGATTACGTCTCCTTACCATCTAAAGTCACAATACTCAATTGATTTAGACTATAAAATAGCATCCAATATGTGGCCTTATACCTCACAATTTCAATTTCAATTCAAAGTTCCCCCTAATTTGTTGACCCCTTAGAGCACAATTCATTGAGTTAGAGAAGATTGAACGTGCTACCTAAAAAATAAAAAACATAAAATACACTTAACGGAATATAACGAAATGTCTATAAATTGTAAATTGAGAAACACAATAACCAATTTGGCTAAAAAATTTCTCAGCAACCAAATTGAATTTTAACCCTTATTTTATTATTAGTTAACAAGAAGGCCACTGCAGGGTCCTTAATACTGCTTTCTCACTCTCTACTAAAGCTAATGCAAAAGCTTGTATAAAATCCATTTTGGCTGCATCGTGAAAGAAAATCCTTTTTTGGTGACCAGTCCAGCAAAAATGAGTTCAAATTGGCTGCATCGTGAAAGAAAAGGAGAGAACAAATTTAATAGGATATCATTTATGCAAGAAAGAAGTGAAGTTTCTATTCTACTATCAAAATTGCAAGTTCTTATTTATGAACTCCTCCGGATCACAATCTCATCAATCCTGGCTATCTGCCACTGACAACAAAGCTTTCACACTGTGAATCTTAACCCTTTCTTTCTACACCCAACCAGAAAATAAGAAAAAAAAATTGTTGCTGCATGCATTGCCAATGACAGCACCAGAGCTACGTTGATAGACGTGTGTCTGCCAGCAACAGCTAACACGTGTAGTAAGTATGATCTACGAAGAAGATAAGAGGAATCAATTAGCAATAAAGTGCTAGAGAAACACCCAAATTAAGATTTCATCAAGCAACAGATTTTTTATTGTTGCTCTTGGGAGAGTGAGGGGGGCGCACCATTGCTGGACCTTCCTGAACTCTGTAAGGACAGGGTATATGTTCTCAAAGGCCTTATACGTGTCTTCTCTTACCTAAGACATCAAATTAAACAAAACATTATCAAATCTCCATTTGCAAATGCAATAGAAAATAAACTAGACAAAGTGGACAAGAAAAAAGCAAATCACCTTTGCACCCGTAATGACAATTTTCCCCGACACAATATAAGAAGAACAATCTTCGGCTGCTTCATGCGATATATCAGCCCTGGAAAAAGTTCCGGCTCATACTGCACCAACATAACAAAAAATAAAGGATCACAACAGAATTTTTAAACCTGTTAGGTCTATCCATTAATCAAGTTTTAAATGCAAGGATCTGTTTGATCCCAATGATTCAAGTATTGGCCACATACATTTTCCTATCATAATGTGGTTTCAAAGTAAGAATTGTGTCTAGGATTCATATATAGTAGTCCTTGTGTTGGTTGAATGTATGTATGGATTCATTGTATATCTGGGAGGGAGTCATGAAAATATTTAGTAGTCAGGCTAGTAGAGCTTCATAAGTAGGCTTGTCAACCTTATTTTGGAACATGAAAGAACTTGCAGAATTTTCCAGCAAGCATTTGTTTATCCCTAGGATGTGTGATGCCTAAGTCTCCTACTGGGGTGATGATGGTAAAATTATCCATTTAGTCAAAATTTCTCCTCTCGTCCCATGAACTTCCCTGTTGCACTTTAACCTACCAACAATTTACAGCCATCATAAATCACACAAATATCGACTGGCGAGGGGACACACATAAATCTCATCGATTATAAGCACCTAAAATGCAAAATGTCCACATGCAACGATAATAATCTCATAAACTTGATCATAAAATATAAACACCTAAAGTGCCAACCATAGACTAGATGATCATCCCAATAGTAGAAACGACATGGACGTCAGATCATGAAAAAATTTAACATCAACAGAGAAGAATTATGAAAGAGAAAACAAAAACATACACGCAAAAAGAAAAGCTTAAAAATCACATCAAGTACTGACATGAAATACAAAAGCCTGGGACAGATAGTCTTCACTTACACTTGAAAAGGCACCATGAGAGTATGCAAGACCCTCAAGTCTTATAGGGAATTTAACATCACAGAGCCAACAATATTTTGAATCTTGAAATCCTGATACTCATAAAAGCAGTATTAACAAATAATAAAAAATATAAAATATAAAGGACTTGCTCTCAATGGTATTACACGAAAAGAGAGAGAGAGAGAGAGAGAGAGAGAGAGAGAGAGGAGAGAGAGAGAGATAGAGATACCTTAAACGAAGCACTAAATCCAAGCTTTTGGATTATTCGGGCATACTGGGAACCAAAAATATCAAAACAGATGAAAGAAGTTCGTCAGTATGCCCTTGCAATCTTTTAAAGATTCACTAATCTAACTAAATAATTATGTAAAGGATATCATCAATGACCACTCCCACTCCTGATTGTGACCAGTAACAAAGGAAAAATTATTTCAGTCACAAACTCACAGCACTTAAGAGGTTGATACTAAATTTTTTTTAAGTAAACAAGGATAAAATAAAAGTCCAATGTCACTCTACTACTGCCTTAAAATGCCTAAAAACGCATCAAAATATATGAAAAATCCCATATATATAGAACTATGTTTTTTATAATAGTAACAATCTGTGAGAGCGTGTAACATCTACCTTCCTTGCTGCCAGTTTTGATTGCTGTTCACTTTTCGCACCTGTGCATACCTGAAGTACCAGAGAGATTAAATATCTTAAACAGTGGCAAAAAAGGTATAATGGTCAAATTTTAAATTATAAACAAGGCAGGAGGGGAAAGGGAGGGGGGCTTATCACGTTCAAGAGCTCATGAGAAATGCAGTAGTCAACTAGAATTGCACGAGTAAATTTTTGAAAGCCAGTTTTGGCAGCAAAAGTGGAGGGTGCAAAAACAGGATCTTATGAAATTATTGACCAACCACCCATGACTTATGGTAGTTCCAATAAAAGAGAATGAAAACATACTTTTAAACTGTAACAACTAATTCAATGCCAATTCTACTATGTACACATGCCATTTGAAATGAAACTCATAAAAGGATAACTCCATCTCCAAATATATCTTGTCATCTTGAGCATCAAAAGTTGTCAATTTAAGATTCAAGATATTGTAAATTTTTGACAAAACATGCAGTCCAGATTACCATAACCAATATCAAACATACACTTCAATTTATACTTAATAACCAAAATTAGCTGATGACAAAAACAGTAAATTATGGCAAAGAAAAAGGCAAAATACATTACTGACACTAACATGACAATTGACAAGGTCATGTATGTGGGGTTCCAAACACATGTCAACAAATACATAATCATGTCTGAATTGTACCCCCAATAGCCATGTCCACAGATAATAGCACAATCAATTGGATTATGATATCAAACACATCAAGTACGATAAACTGTTCTTTCAGATCTCACATGGCAGCATAGATTTAAAGAACAAAGGCATTTACCACCAATGGTGGGACTGAACAGGAGCCTGAGAGATTCAAAAGTATACCAGTTCCAAAAATGTTATAGAAACAAATTAGGAACAGCTGAAAAGAAATCATGCAGTTGTCAGCAATTGGAATAGCTGAAATTTGTGGAGAGCTCACCATCTTCCCAGAGGCAAATATCAACGCTGTAGTTTTTGGTTCCCTTATTCTCATAATAACAGCGGCAAAACGCTGCAAGAACATTCAATTAAAAATAAGTTATTATTCAATTCTCCTAAATGTCTAAAGCACCAGAAAATAAGTCATGGTCTGTTATTAACACAATTTAAGTTATACCGAGATGGATCCGTGTGTTTGTTCCAGGGGGGATGAGAGAGAGAGAGAGAGAGAGAGAGAGAGAGAGAGAGTTCAACAGAAATTCAACCAATTTTATAAGATGCTAAGGAATCACTGAATGCTCAACATTAAAGAAATAGTAATAGGATTATTTGCTCATCTGTTTAGTTTACTATTAATTATGTTTTTTTTTCTCTTCATATAAACTGGTCCCTTTTATTACAACAAATACTTATTGGCTGGGAGGACTTGGGAGGCATACGTATGAAAAGCAGTGTGAAAGGAGTACAAGTGTCAACTTTTACTGGTTTCCAATACTTTCTACCCACATGAAAAGCAACGACATCAAAGTTTCGGTGAATGTCAGAGGCTAAAAAAAGAGTGAACTACCAACACTCAACTGTCAATACACTAGAGAAATGAATTATACACAAACTCTTGCATACCTTGGGGTTGTATTCTGCGTTCCGAGCTTGCAACGCAATTTGCTTGAGATCCAGCCGGCAACCCAAGTAAACCGTAGATACGATATTCCTACAAACACAACCAGAACAGAAGGAATTAATAAGCTTCATTATTTAGCATAAAATACTCCAGATTATAAGAATAATGTATTAATAAAAAGTAAAAGAAATGAATTGAATATTAATAATTCCACTACAAACAAACCATAAGAGATGAACACTTGTTGACAATTCCGCACATTCTATAGCAAAGACATTTTAATATCATTTCTTCATATCTTTGTGCTAATAGCACAAAGTTTTGCATGACCCAAACATACATATCGAATAAATGGATAGCATGGATCAACAAAGGGCACAAAACCCATATAAGCTTGTTTTTTAGTAGCGAGTTCTACCACAGATGCAGTACATTTGGCATCAAAACAAGTTCCATCACACAATAGAGTTATAGATCACATAAGGCAGGCCTATAGGTTATATTAAAATGTCTTGATATTATGCATGCAAAAAGTACAGAGGCACTGAAAACTGGTAGGTGACTAGGAAGGACAAAAAACTTTATCCACCAAGCAAGTCTGGAGAGACTCCAGGTACGGAAACCTGGTGGATTTCATCACCAAGCTTGGCCGGAAAACTAAAAACAAAAATACTCTTTCCATGTAAATCAGTTTTGACAACAAGTTCGAGCCATAGCTTCGTTTACAATAACAGAGAGCACTATCTAATGAAATCTTTCATTGGCAGATAGAATTCAATTCCCACAAGATTTAGATAAAACAAAAAACCAAAGTTCATCTAAATTGGGGAAAAATTCGACTTCAACCACAAAAGTTGGAAAATTTTCAATCCTTTTAAAACACAAAAAGCATCTTAGGGATGCAAATGAATCAGTATAAACTAAAAAATTTCATCTTCCTTCCGCTTTGGGGGACCACTGTAACCCCATCAACCTACAAACTGATAATCCTAGAATAAACCCATGAACCAATTAGATCTAAACAGGCCCACTACGTAGTACTCAACTCAGAAGCCTTGTACATGATGAAGATGGTTTTCTTTTCTTTTGCCAAAAAATGATGAAGATGGTTCAATAAAACAGAATTAGAAACTTCAAAAGCAAGGGGGTAGAGAAAGACTTACTGAAGAGTGGGAACAATACCAGAGGGGTGAATGGAAAGATCCACAGGTTGGTTCTCTTCGAATCCACCTTGTTCCTCCATTCCCTGTATCCCACCTTCAAGACTTCGGCGATTTTCCAAAGATAGTATAATAAAGAAAAAAAAATATATGTTTTTAAGTGTTCTTCTGTTTCTGCTACAAATCCTTTAACTTTGTTTTTCTGGGTTCCGGGAAATTATGCCTTATAATCGTCCTCAATCAGATCCAGAGCTTTCGGTAATCTAGGGTTCCAAAAGGATTTAAGAAAACAGAATAATTGAGAAAATAAACTCGGAGAAAGTTCGCGGGAAAATTGGAAATTGGGGGAGGGAAGATTTTCAAATAAGGGTGTGTTTTATAGGTATTGATGGAAGAAATTGTGAGCGATCGTGGATTTTGTTTGGGGTCGGGTCTGGTCTGAGAGAAGGCAAATGCGATTTTATGTGGGTGGTGAGGAGGTCCTTTCCCTTTTGTTGTCTCGCTTGGCTTTGACGTTTTGGCTTTTGTCTATCATACACATATATAGAGAGAGAGAGAGAGAGAGAGAGGCTGATTCTTATGTAAACCGGTAATCCTTGCAATTACCGGATAGTGCCGGTTTATCATGTGTTTTTCTTCGAAAAAATAATATACGGTTAATTGTTGTGTTCCTAGAACTATACTATGTTTTGCATTTTCGTCCTCAAATCCCAATCATAGTTACAGCCGTCCATTAGGTTGCGCGCGTCGCAATAATGGTCATTTTTCGTCAATTCTGTTTAATTTTTCATTAAATTCAAGGATATATTTGAAAATTTCTCGTAACTTATAAAAATAAATAATAATAAAAAAGTTATAAAAAAAAGGGAGTTTCACTAAAACACCCAAAATGGAGGTTGAAATTATAAAAAAACCCAAGCACTATTTAAACATATAAACACACCCAAAACCCATTATTACACACACTCAAAACTCATTTATAAACATACCCAAAAAGTTGACTTTGGGGTTGATTTTGGGTGTGTTTCTATGTTTAAATAATGCTTGGATTTTTTTATAAATACATGTCTAGGATTGGGTTTATTTATAAATTTGTATAAAAAAAATTTGAGGTTTGGGGCTCAGATACTGAGAGCTATAACACTAGTCGCTCTCATTTTCTTTTGGTTAGCGTCTTTGCTTTTTGAATCTCGATACACATCAAATGTGAGGTACCACAACCCAACCTTATCCATTCAAAGCATGAAAATAAACCCATTTTAGAGAAGAAAAAAAAAATGTTTGTATGTTCCTCTCACGTAGTACAACGTCTCACTTTTTTAAGGACATTTTCTAAGGAGATAGGCAATAACATATTAAATTCTCACACACTGTAGATATGCTAAAATTCGAACAGAGAACCTTTCCTGAGGGAGCAATTGCTCCGAACCACTACATTAGTGAGACCACGTGTCACTTAGATTTGAAAAAATACTTATTTACTGTAGTGCGCCCTGAAACTTCGGTCAAATCTCACTTTGCCCCTCCAAACTTAAAATGACTTACTTTCATCCATTGACCGAAGTTTGGTCACTCACTTTGCCCCCTACCGTCAACTCCATCTAAAAGTCTGTTAACTTTGATGAAGTGGCATGGATGTTTTTGTAATTTCGTAGACATAGATCGTCATCCACCAATTAGATGAGTGACGTGGCAAGTGGAGCCCACCTCCACATAAAAAAATATTTAATAATTCTAATAATTAAAACATAACTATAAATTAAATTAAATAAGAAAAAAAATATTCAAACAATTAAAAACTATACCCGGTACACAATCCAACCCCCACCTAGATCCCACCCTCTCTCTCTCTCTCTCTCTCTCTCTCTAGGATTTGTATTAAAGGAGACAAAGTTTTCTCTCCTTTTCTTATTTTCTCTTTGTTTCTTGGCTGAAGCTCACCAAGGAAATCATAACAGTCTTGCTCCGGTTTGTTTGTTTGTGAAAATTGAATCTATTTATCCCTCTTTTTGGAATGTTAACTACAAAATAAATCATTTAAATATATATTTTAAATAGATTTAATTTAATTGGGATAAAAACAACCCATATATGAATTTGGGTTTGTTTTTGTTGGGTATATCTGAATCAAATTGGCTTGATTTTTGGGGCTCCTAAGAGAGAGAGAGAGAGAGAGAGAGAGGAGGAAGGGGAGGAGAGAGAAAAGGGAGGGGGAAGGGGGGGGGTGGGTGGTGGGGAAGGGGGCTGGGTTTCAAACAACCCAAATTTGAAGTTGGGTGTTAAGGTTGGTTGGAGATCAAGAGAGGGAGGGTTGTGATGGTGGTAGGGTTCGGATCTAAGGCAGGATGTTACGACGAGTTCGATGTTCTTTATCATTGAATCTGCAACCAACAAAAAAAAAGAACTAAAAGATTTAATTTAAAAACAAAAACAAAAGCAACATATGGCTAAGATGAAGATAGTGTAGGATGCTGGGTGGAAGATCAATGAGAAGATGGCTAGGATGGTTGTTGGGTTGTATATGAACTTAGGATGGTGGAGAAATTGGAAGAGCTACTTGTAGATCTAATGGAGACCAATCAAGTCTCAGAAGTTTTGTTGATGGGGTTAGCTATGCGTAAGGATTAATGGTGGATGAGGGGTAAGGGAGGATGGGCGTGGATGGGTGGGAGGATTTGGGGTGATGGGTAGAGTTTTTAATTATGTGAAAATTATTATATTATTATTATTATTATTATTATTATTATTATTATTATTATGATGATGATGATGATGATGATGATGATGATTATTATTATTATTTATTTAAATGAAGGAATAAAAGCATTTATATCAAGTAATCATGCTTGCAAAACCATAACCATCAATTCCTCGTGATACCAATGGTGACACGTCCTGACCTATAATCCTCGATGGACTCAAGAGACATCTGGTCAACCTGGTCCGCAATCCTCGCTCCCATGGTTCGAATAACTCTAAGACTCATGGGGCAAAATATGCTAGAAAAACTTAAGATATTTAGTACTATATATAATAATGCAAGATAAAGATAAATGAACATAATAAAATAAAATAAAATAAGTTAAAGATTTATAAGTTCCAAACACCCTTGTATCGAACTCATGTAAAGTTCATAAATAAATATATATATTTATATATATATCAATAACTTGATTAGAATTTATATATATTTCCATCTATCGCTTGTAAAACAAATGTGATGCTTAAGAAAATAATGGTAACTATATAAAATCCTTAATTTAGTTTAAAAGCATCTCATATCTTAAATTCTCTCCACCTAGGCATACTCCCATATCTTATTCGTCAATTCCTTTAACACCGTCAATTCCAATAACAATCTGTCAATTCCATCCTTGCAGGTCTCGGAAACATAAAGTTAACCAAGCCGCATTCCTCGCAGGTCTCAGAGATAACATTTCAATCTGAGCCGCAATCATCGCAGGTCCCGGAGACACCAAGTCCATCCGAGCCGCATTCCTCGCAGGTCTCAGGAGACCATTAGTCAACCTGAGCTGCAATCCTCGCACCACACAGTTCAAGCGTCCCCAAAACTCGTGGGGCAATATCATAAATAACAAACTGTCTCAAGGCAACTGGGGGTACCCTCACGGTGGGTTTGAAAACCATAACCCGTCATTTATATGAACTTTCAATAAATTGGTTCTCAACTAAACTTAAAAGATATATCCATATATATATATATATATATATATATATATATACCATAATCTGATAAAAACCAAAATCTAAAATTCATGATGATATTTCAAAATAATGTTTAAGTAGAATTAATCAAAATATTCAAAATCAGATATTTCAAAATAGCAACTTTTATTTATTTATACTCACAAAAGTCTTGCACTGGAAGCCTTTTGATGAGGAGGTTATAGGAACACTCAGTGTTTACAAAGATGATTTCTCCAAAAGTGTTTTAGAGAGAATCTTTAAAAAAACTGAAGTGAAATTGTAGTCTACTTACAACTTTGGCCGAAGCTTGCTTAAATAAGGCAAGACAACTATGGTTTAATCAACTAGGGTAAACAAAATAACTAGGGTAACTTGCTTTAACTGTAGAGGCACGGGAGCCTTATCAACTTGGGATTTTTTGGGCAACTTTTGACTGTAGAAGCACGGGAGTCTTGATCAACTTGGAATCTTTGCTTTTACTTGGGCAACTGTTGGCTTTTACTTTGAGTGAAATGTTAGGGAATAATGACTGTAAAAGCACGAGAAAGCAGTCGGCTGCTTTAGCAGGGAGCTACAAACATATTCTCCATAGCAATTATTCTGTCTGCAATTTTAAATCTAGTCAGAATTTAAATCATAGGCATCATAGGGGTCCTGACTGTCTTGATAGTCTCCCCAGCGTTTGGTCTTGGCAGGGCTCTGCATGGGCTGACAACTGGACGATGATGGAGAATCGATGTCATTGTCATCTTCATCATCCATTTGGGAAGCTTGTATAATCATCTGGTGAGCAATTTCTTGTAGTTCAGACTTTAATTTTCCTTTCACAGAAAGATAAGATCGGGTAGAACCAATATGGGAAGTTGGATGGGGGGCAGAATCAAGAGGCAAATCATTGTAAGCATATTTAGCAATTCTGTCAACTTCGAACTTATCCCACCATTTAACATAAAATTGTCGAGCAAATATTCTAGTGTCTTTGGTGACCCTGTAGGACCATTTGAGGATCCAAGGAACTTTGTATGTGGCAACAAAAAGTAACTGTTTTGGAAAGAACAAATCAACTTTGGAGAATTTGGCTTTCTTAGTAAAATGATGAATTAACTCAAGGACTGAGACAGGCAAAATCTCATCAACTAGGCCATGTTTTTCCCACCAGTGAAGAAACCAGTAAGGAAATGAGCATTTGAATTTGTTGTCAAAATTAATAAACCAGGAATGGCTAAAATCCTCAGATTGGTGAAGGAAGATAGAATACCAGGCTTCAATATAATCAGAATAATTATATTGCAATTTTGACTGGAGGGTTTTCAACTCATAAGGGTGGCTACTGAATGATTCTTGGCTTAAAACTCTGTGTATGTAAATGGAATGATAAAGGATGATTTCGGGGTGATCTCGATCCCTTATCGACTTAATTTCAACTAATTGAGTTTCAAGTAATATATCTCTATAATACTTGAGGTATTTGTAAGGGCTTGGAGGCATGTAATGAAATCCTGGGGGGAAATAGTGTTTGGCAATGGCAACTGGATCAAAATGAATATCATAATTGGGCTCAATAACAAACAAGTGGAAATTGCTTTTGGGCAAGTAAGGGGATGTCTTTTTGAAGGCAACTGAAGGTCCTACTGAAGGATCAATGGAGAAAGGATCATAACAAGATACTAAAGTTGACTGATAACTAGGGCGAATTTGGCCAATTGTAGATCCAAGACTAGAAAATTTGTTAGCAACTGATAATGGAGTGGCAACTAATATTGGTGTGCAACCTGGAAAGGGGACTAACTGTTTGGGCAACTCTGGTTTTGCTTGACTCATTGATGAAGGCAGGATTCGGAGCGACTGAGATTACTTAGGTTGGCTGGCTGATTCTTTCTGTTTGTCTTTTTTGGGTGCCATTGCACATCCTGTAGGAATTCTCAAGTAACAAAGTCAGGAACTGAATTCTCACTACCTTTCAGATATTCAATATCAAAATCAAATGTACTTAAAATGGCTTGCCATCGTGCAAAAATATGTTTGATGCAATGTTTTGAACATCTTTTTCTAAAACATGTTTTGCAGATTTACAATCAACTCGAATAAAAAACTTTTGATTAAGCAAATCATCCAGAAATTTAGAAATGCATAATACTATAGATAGTATTTCTTTTTTAATAGTACTATAATTATATTACGACTGTGTCCAAATGCCAGAATGGAAATAAATGATTTGTTCTGGTTGATCTGGACCGACTTTTTGCTTCAAAATACCTCCATAACCAATATCAGAGGCATCAGTTTCAACTATTTTGAAGGAATCAACTGAAGGGATACCAAGACAAGGAAGTGTCTTGACATGGACTTTGGTTTGTTTGACAATTTCAGTATGAGTAGACGACCAAGGAGGAGGATTACTTTGCAACCTATCAAATAAAGGCTTACACTGTTTTCTCAAGTTTTGGTAGAAATCAGATACATAATTAAGAGATCCTAAGAACCTCTAAAGCTGACTCTTATCAATAATTTGATCAGGAAATTTATCTCCAAACTGAATGACTCGATCAATTGGGCTAATCTGTGACTGGCAGATATTAAAACCAAGGAAACGAATACTAGTTTGAAACAACTTGATTTTCTTAGCAGGAACAACTAAACCATTGTTTTTGATAATTTGGAGGAACTTATGCAGGTGTTTCCAATGCTGTTCTATTGACTCAGAAAAGATGAGAACATCATCAATATAAACAATTGAAAAATGACTATAAGGATTAAAAATTTCATTCATAATGTTTTGAAACTCACTAGGCGCATTTTTCAAACCAAAAGGCATTACATTCCATTCATAATGACCAAAAGGAGTGACAAATGCAGTCTTATACCTATCTGACTCATCTATTTGGATTTGCCAGAAACCACTTTTCATATCAAACTTAGAAAAGACAACTGCTTTTTCTAATCGATTAATTAAGTCTCGTTTATTAGGTATGGGATACCTAATCCATTCTAAGACCGAATTGAGGGGCTTATAATTGATAACTAGTCTTGGGACTCCTCTTTCTAATTCAGCATTTTTCTGAACATAAAAAGCGGGACAAGACCAAGGAGACTTACTCTTTCGAATTATTTTCGTTTGAAGTAACTCAGTTATTTCATTTTTACAAAATTCCATTATTTCTTGACTCATTTGGATTGTCCTGGCTTTAGTGGGAATATTTTTTCACTAAAGGTTTTGATATAAGGAAGGCTAACAACATGTTGTTTCCTATACCAAAAAGCATTAGGCAAATCAGAACATATTTCATTTTTCAACTTATTTTCAAATTGTTGAATTTGCGACTGTAAAGATTCACAACTAAGCTGTTGTTCGACTCTTTTGAATTTAACTTCTTCTTGAAGAAAATTCAACTGACTGACTTTTCTATTAATTATGTGAATTGATTTGGACACTGAGTTATTTTGGAGGGCTTTTTGGTTATGCAACTCAGGTTTTGACAGAAACTCAAACTTAACTTTTTCTCCTAAATGGGTAGAGATGACACCGTCATATTCTACCTGGAAGGGATACAACAAGGCAATGAATGGTAAACCTAAGATGACTTCGTCAGTGATATTTTTGACTAAGACAAATGAGGTTTTGAAACAAATCTTATTTTGACAGACATGGGCTTTGGGGATCTCATAGTTCAACTGGAGCGATTTACCTGAAGCAATACTTAATGACTCTTTAGATTTCTTATAAAACTTAGTGTGGATTAGACCTTCCTGAATACAATTAAGGTCGGCTCTTGAATCAAATAGAGCAACTGTAGTAAACTCAAATTTTTTAACAAATATTGTAACTTTAGAATACCATTTTCTGAATTTGACTTGTTTTATCAGATTAATGGCCTGCTTAGGGGTTGAAGACTCCTCATCAGAGTTGTTTGTGCTTTCTGGTTGACTTTTAGACTCAAAACTTTCTTTCTCTATTAAGTTGACTAAATCTTGTTAGATGGCATAATTTTTAGCTTGCAATTTATGACTCATTTGTTTCAACTCAACTATTTCCTTTTTGATTGTTTTGAATTCTAACTGTAAATCTTGAAAGGTAACATCCTTTTTCCTATTAAATTTTTCTAGAGTAGTGTTTAGACTAATCGGTTGAGGGACAGACTGGCTTGGGCTTTCCTGGCTAATGACTTTTCTTAATTTTTTCAAATACTCAGACTTCAATTTTGGGTTTCCTACCTTACTAATTAGTTCGATTAGCAACTCTTCTTGTTCTTCCTGTTTAGTAAGGACAGAAATTGATTTTAATCTATTGCAGCATTTATCTTTACAACCAAATTGGACTTGGGGTGAACTAGTCTGGGAGTCTGACGACTGATGACTATCGAACTCAGAACTGGCAACTATGGATTTAATTTCACTAGATTCAGAGTTCCGCAACTCTAAGACTTTAATCAATTTTTCTTTATCTTCATCTGTGATTTTCAACTGTTTAATAGTATCTTTTACTTTGCATTCACTAGCATAATGACCGAATTTTTGACATTTGTAGCATTTAACTTTTCTTTTGTCGGATTTCTTAAAATTACTATTTTTCTCATTCTTCTGCTTTTTAGATCAATTTCTCTTAGGGTAAAATTTCTTTCTTCGGTAGAACTCATTATCATTATTATGTCGGAATGATTGCTTTCTACGCAAATAATGACGCTTCTTTGGATATGACTGGGGTAATTAGACTTTTCTTTCCTAGAAGGGGGGTAATTAGCAAGATTGTACTGTTCACAGAAAGTTCCTAGTTCATATTTGGCTGACTTTCTATCCGACTGTATTTGTTTTCCAATTTTAAAATCAACACACATTTTCATACCAACTTGATTGATTGTACTAATTATATTTCCATAAGTTAAACTATTCCAATCAATTTGACCTTGTTCATTATTAAGGACAGTGCGGATTTTATGGGCAAATAGGTTTGGAAGACCATTAACAATTTTTTCTTTTCAGAATGGTTGATTACTATCATCTCTAAGCATGACTCTAGAAATGAAAACATCTTTATACCATCTGAAATCTGACAACTTGGGGCATCTGAGATTACTAAGTTGATCATGGATTCTAGTAGTAGTATTACTAGGGGTTCCAACAAAATGTTCTATTATTGTATAAAACAAAGTGTTGACTCCATCTTCTATACCTTGACCTATTTGTTCGTCAAATATAGGAAGACCTTCTTCATTAAGTTTAGCTGCATGGATTATTAAATTCTTAGACTCAGGGGTTAAATGTTTATCCCACCAATACTGGAGGGTTCCGGTAAAACTAGTGACAAGTAAGGGCACAATTTCATACGGTCTAAAACTGTGATTAGTGATATAACTATTAGCAACCATGGACATATGTTGGAGCTTATTAAAGATTTCTTGTTCAGACAAACCATCAATATTCCATTCATACAATTTGTTAGAGGAAACTGAGAATTGACTCTGGAAGTTTCGTTCTTCAAATTGAATATCTGGAGGTGTAGGTCGAGAATACCAATTTTTGGTAAGGCTGTAGGGGTAACTCTATTGGCTAATCTTTTGACAATTAGCTTGGTTTCCAGTGCTAAATTTTTAAAGGCATTTCAATTTTTGAAATGTGACTGGTTTCTGATTCTAAACTGACTAAAGACTCAGACTCAGACATAATTGGATTGGCAATTGTATAAGAACATAGAGTTTTAAGACCAGATTTCTCAGGCTTACTAGGTGTCAATTGTTCTAGCATTTCTTCTATTTTCTTTATTGTTGGCTTGATCTTAAGGGTAGGACTAGACTTAAGATCCTGGAATTGAACTAACGGTTTCTCAACCTTTGTCTTGAACTTATTATCTTGGGGAACTAATTTATCAACTTTGGTTTCTATTTTATCAAGCTGTTTTCCTATGACAATTAAACTCTGGTTTGTATAATTAATTTGTTCAATTAATCGCTTATCATGATCATTTTTCTCAGGAGCTTTAAAAGGACAGGCTGGAACTGGGGTTTGTAGAAAATCAATTATTATTGTTTCAACTGGAGGATGGCTCAAAACGACTTCTGTTTTATCAATTAATTTCCATTTTTCTATGGTTAGGGTTTTTAAGTTGTTAGTCATATAACGGCTTTCTATAAAGTGAAGGTAAAAGATTTCAACTTTGGCTGTCCGCATGTAATCTTTCCATTCATTAAAGATTTGCTGACGCTGGTCTTTATCAGGGTAGGCTTGGTGGTAATTATCTTTTCTACTTTGGTTTTCTGGGGCTCTAAGCTGACAATCTAGGGCTTTCCAATCTATTGAAATTTTTTTATTAAGTGTTTTCAACTGGTTATTGATGACATTATCGGCTTCAAAGGCTTCAAAATCAGTTTGAGTTGGGGACTCAGGCGACTCTGATTTGTCCTTCTCAACTGGTTGTTTACCATAACAAGGCTGATTAACTTGGGAATTTTTTCTTAAAGATTCTAATTTAAAATCTATCATAGCCTTTTCTAACTCTAGGTCTCGTTCTAGAGTGGAGGATGAGGCTGTGAAAGAATGTCGGGCAAGAATATGTCTCTAGGATTGGCCAGGGGTTGGCAATTGCTGCATATGGACTGATGACTTTTTTGGGGGGCTGATTCCCAAAACTAATTTTTACTGAACCATCTAAGTATTGTTGAACATAATCTAAATTGTTTAAATTATGTTGAACTGGCACAGGTTGACAAACAGTATTAAACGTCTATTCCGGAGGAAAGGCAACTTCAGACCATTTAACTATGTGAGGTACACGTATATTGGCTTCAGGTTTACTACTTTGTATTAGCAAAGTTTGATCTTTTGGACTCTTGTTTAAGGCTTGAAAATTCATATTAGTTCCTGTGACTTTATAATAAATTATATACACTAAAGCTGATAGCTGTGTTCCGGGCAAGACATGATAACCATCAGTTTTAATATTTAGAGTTAATGATTTGAGAATGTGAGGATCACTAAGGCTTACAGTGAAGCCTGGATAATAGTCGAAATGAACTGGACCATTACATAGGCTAGACTCAATTAATCCTAGCATGCTATCACTGAAATTAGTGAATCTGGCATCTTTAAGACATAGACAGACATAGGTTTTTAAACCTAATCTGGTGAGAGGCTTAACTGCAACTTGTACTAGGCCAATATGAAGAGAATTATTACCATCAGACTTACGTTTTCTTATAGACTCAAGATTTAGCAACTGACATGTTTCATGTTCTTTACTCAAAGCATAAACTTGTTCAACTGTTTTTACATGGGTGGTCGACTGAAAACTCTTAAGACTCCATTTTTTCTTATAAATTTCTGGACTAGGGACTCTAGGTATATTCCAGTCTTTATAATCTAATTCATTATTAGACTCAAATTCTATTTGTTCTTCATTTACTATTTCTGGAAGACGGCTTATACTGGTTTTAGAGCTACTCGAATTACAAGAATTTGTTCTAAATAAACGACTCATTTTAACTCAAGTTTCTAATTATGGCGACTGAAGAAGAAGATAGACAGGGACTCCTAAAACTGACCTTTTACTCTACAAGAAACTGACTGACTCTCTCTCCCTCCGCTCATGCCCACCACTCAGGCCCATTCACTTGGGACTTACTGTTTGGAAAAAGGACTCACTGTTTGGACACCAAGAGAGAAAACTAACAAGAAACTTGGAGAATAAAAAGAAAGGAAAAGAAGGAACTGAAAACTTCTACTCATAAGCTTAAACCAGCCACTTGGGCGAGGATGAGTACTAGACTTAGACAAAGACCGTAACTATTATGATGATGATGATTATTATTATTATCCTTATTATTATTATTATTATTATTATTATTATTATTATTATTATTATTATAATTCTTCTTCTTCTTATTATTATTCTTATTATCCTTATTATTATCATTATTATTATTATCCTTATTATTATTATTATTATTATTATTATCCTTCAAGTTTTAATTCTTCAACTCTTCGATAAACTAGTTTGTACTCTTTAGTTCTCTGCAAATATCTCAGTACCTTCTTGCCTGCTACCCAATGTGCTTGGCCTGGATTAGATTGAAACCTTCCAAGAACACTTATGCAAAAAGCAAGGTCTGGTCTTGTACAAACTTGCGCATACATCAAGCTTCCTACAAGTGATGCATAGGGATTGTCCTGCATTTCCAACTTCTCTTGCTCAGTTTTAGGAGATTGTTCACAACTCAGTTTTATCACCTTTTGAGAATGGAACATCACAACCTGTGCAATTCTCCATGTTGAATCTTTTAAGTACACTTTCTATATATCCTTTTTGTGATAGACCAAGTAATCCCCTTTCTCTATCTCTACTTATTTCAATTCCTAAAACATAGTTTGCTTCACCTAAATCACTCATCTCAAAATAGTTTGACAACATTCTCTTAGTGTCATGTAATAATGACAAATGAAACTAGATCCCAAGACAGTTAGTTGCTACTTCGTGGGATATCCAGACATAACAAAAGGGTACAGGTTTTACTGTCCTAACAATACCACAAGGTTTATGGAAACACAAAGAGCAATTTTCATTGAGGATGAAAGTGAACAAGGCACTGATGAAAATTTTGATTTTGATGAAAATTTTGATTTTGATGAAATTTTGGAAGGTGAGGCATTTACAAGAAAAGAAAATCTGATAAGAGAAACAACAGTCTTGCCATTCATTGATTCGAGTGACAAACAAGTCTCACCAATTCATGATGAAAGAAATTTAGTAGGAAATCAAATGACTGAAGCTTAACAAACTGCAGCAAAAAATATGTAAATGGATCAACAAGAACTCCAACCTCACAACTCAGAACTGAGAAGGTCACAAAGAACTAAGAGACATGCTCTATCAAATGATTATTATGTCTACTTGCAAGAGTCAGAACATGATATCAACCCCACAAAAGACCCTGTGTCTTTTAAACAGGCTATGCATAGTGAAAAATGTGAAAAATGGATAGAAGCAATGGAGTCTGAGCTTCAATCAATGAGTAAAAATGGTGTATGGAAGCTTGTAGCATTGCCTCAAGGATGTAACCAATAAGATACAAATGGGTTTACAAGACCTAAAGAAACTCCAAGGGACAAATAGACATATATAGGCACGTTTGGTAGTGAAGGGGTTCACACAACAAGAATGAGTGGATTACAATGAAACATTCTCACCTGTTTCAGCTAAAGATTCTTTAAGGGTCATAATGGCATTAGTGACACATTTTGATTTGCATCTTCATCAAATGGACGTTTAGACTGCATTTTTGAATGGAAACCTTATTGAAGAAATCTATATGAAGCAACTAGATGGTTTCATTCAAAAAGGGGAAGAAAATTTGGTTTGTAGGTTACAAAAATCAATATATGGATTAAAATAAACTTCAAGGCAGTGTTATTTGAAGTTTGATGAAGTTGTGAAGTCTCAAGGTTTCATTGATAATCCCTTAGATGAATGCATTTATCTCAAATTTCATGGAAGACATTACATTTTCATGCTCCTCTATGTCGATGATATTCTCTTAGCAAGCAGCAATTTGTCATTATTACATGACACTAAGAGAATGTTGTCAAACTTTGCTTCTGCCTTGCTTCCCCAGACTTTGAGGTGTGAGAGACTTGGTTTTTTGTTGCACCATATCTCATAAGGGATTTTGTTCACACTTTTCGTAGGAGTTCTATTCAGCAAATAGTTTGCTGTTTTCAAGGCCTCTCCCCAGAGAAATTTTGGAAGCTTAGAATAGCACATTAAGCTTCTTATCATTTCAATCAATGTTCTATTTCGTCCCTCTGCCACTCCATTTTGTTGTGGCGTACCTAGATTAGTATATTGAGCCACAATTCCTTCTTATTGTAAAAACTTTGCAAAAGTTCCAAGATTTCTTCCTTTCTCATCAAATCTGCCATAAAACTCACCTCCTCTATCTAACCTTACCACTTTTATTTTCGAATCCAGCTGGTTTTCTACTTCTACTTTGTAAACTTTAAACATGTCTAATGCATTAGAGTTTTTAGATATTAAGTATATATAACCCTATCTTGAGAAGTCATATGTGATGGTTATGAAATACTTAAAACCATCGTGTGTTTGAGTGGGAAAAGGACCACATATGTCAATATGTATGATTTCCAGCAGTTTCTCACTTCTTGTAGCACCTTTCTTCCTCAAATTAGTCAACATTCCTTTAACACATTCAATGCAAACGTTGTCATTGTCATGGTGGTTAAGTGGTGGCAACAGATTTTCTTTGTTTAGCAAGTTCGTTCTTTCATTCGAGACATGTCCTAGTCTCATGTGCCAAAGTCTATATGATTCTTCTTTATTTGCTTTTCTTTTAGTGCTTATTAGATTGATGTTTAGATTAGCAGTGCTTGGATTTGGTTTCTTGCAATTCAAACGAAACATGCCATCATTTAGAAAACCATTATCAATCATAACTTTGTTTCTAAAACTGGAGAATCCAGACTCATTAAACTCAAACTGCAAGTTTGATTTTACAAGCTTCCTAATTGAAATAAGATTCCTTTTCATAGAAGGAATATAAACTACATCTACTAACTCCAAAATAAAACCAGACTTCAACTCGATCTTAGCTAATCCAATGTACTCCACCTTGACTCTTTCTCTATTTCCCACGAACACCTTCATCTCAGCCTTGCTTGGCAGCCTCTTGTTTTGAACCCATGCAAAGAATTAGCCACATAAACCGTTGCACCACTATCTAACCACCATGAATCTGAAGAAATCTCAATTGCATTAGACTCTTAACAAACATATACTTGATTAGTCTTACCTTTAGCCTTTTGCTTGTCCAACCAACGCTTGTACCTGTCACAATTCCTCTTCATATGACCAAACTTCTTGCATAAATAACACTTGAGTCCTTCTGGTTTAAGTCCCTTAGTTTCCTTTTCTTCCTTATTTTTCTTTCCAACAGTTTTGCCTTTTCCAAAATCCCTTTTGAAGCTCTGAATCATATTAATCTTTTCTTCAATCTTATCTTTCTTCATATTTTGTTCTTCCTGCACACAGATGCTTATGAGATCAGTTACCGTCCACTTCTCCTTTTGAGCTACATATGTGTTTCTAAGACGCTTAAAAGTTCTAGGCAGAGAGTTTATAGCAAAATGTACCATCATGGTCTCATCCACATTGACTTTCAGTGCCTTCAGTTTGTTCTCAATTTCCAGCATGTTCAGTATGCGTGTTCTTACACATCTTTCCCCATTGTATTTTGCGTCAGTGAGTTGTCCCATTAGAGTTCCAATCTCAGCCTTTTTTGATTCCTAAAACTTCTCCCCAATAGAATCAATAAACTTCTTAGCATTATCAGATGGTGTAATGCTTCCCCTGACAGATGGTGAAATTGAGCTTCTCATTATTTGAATAGCCATTTTGTTTGCCTTAACCTATTTGGCATACTTTGCCTTTGCTTTAGCAGATGCATTGGCAACAGGTTCTGCAGGAGCTTCTTCTTCAAACCATCTCATAATCTAGCTGACCTAGGGCAATTTCTACATCTTCGTCATTTGGTGTAGTTAGAGCCAATCGAGTTGTGATTAACTAAAAAACACATTGCATATATGTTTAAAAACTGAAAAACCCCAAAACTTTAAAAACATGGTTGATTCTAACCTTAAGGCAGAGAAAACAAAAACATGTTTATCAACACTGAGACATGAAAATCATGTAGGCTTCTTGTACAAGAGAATTTCTACATCTTTGGACATAAGAAAAATCTTGTTAACCTATGTGTTTCATCTCCCATGTTGTTCTGCTGTAAATAATTGCATTATGAATCACCCACATCTTTGGACAGAGGGTCATTCATTATGCCTTTATTTGCAGCACAAGTTTAATCATAAACCTTTGAGTGTATAGATCTTGCAATGTCTGAGTTGCTTTGGCTTGCTCAGAACATTGCAAGAACTCTACAAACCAATTGATCAGTTTCCTCTTGTCACAGCGAGGTGTTAGCCTTAACTGTTGCTGTGAAAAGTTTCTTTAATCTTGAAAAACTTAAATTAACCTTGAGTTTTCAAGTTCTTAATGCTGCAACAAAATTGGTTAGGTAGAAGATAAAACAAGCTGGCTTTGATACCACATGTAAACCTAACAAACTATTAAAACTTGAGCACTAACCTTGCTCTACCATTGTATGAAACCTTCACTTGAGAGAGAGTTCTTCTCTAAGATAACCGATTGCCTTAACTCAATATTCTAGATGGGGTGAATATCTTGATGAGTTGTGTGTATCGGCTCTTATAGGGAGCTCATCTATTTATATGCATCACTCAAGGAGTCTTGCCTATCAAGAAACTCCTTGAGGTATCCTTATTGCAATAGAACAGTGAATCCCAATTCTAACAGAACTAGAAACCCCTTTAGTCTTGTAATCCAATTAAAACACTGATACAAGTCTGCTAGCTGAGATTGTTTTAAGTCCTTGATTCATCTGGAGGTCTTGCAATCCAATAATGATTAGAAGACCACTTTATGCGAGTTTAAGATAGTAAACTATCTTACATGGATAAATCTTGAGAAAACCAAACTAGAACAATATAAAGCACTTACAAATGATAAGCGAAAAACTCTTACAAAAGAGAGGTAAAAATGCCACAACAACGTAATCTGCGATAGGCCCAAGCTATCCATCCCATAGCCTCACGACAGATGCCGCTACTTTGCCTCCCTACACCATGCCCAAGAGCACCGCACCAATTGCTCCACCGCCTGGCCTCGTGGCCACGAACACCACTGCAATCTGGGTTGCCGTAGCCACCATAGGCCTTACGTCGCCAAAAGGCTCCGTAGCAAAAATTACTGCTCAAGCTCAAGGTCTCGAGGCTGTCGTAACCTCACAGCCTCACGGCCGACTTTGATGTCCCTCACCGCAACGCCATCACAATCCATGGTGGAATAACCCACCACAACTATTCGGTCGCCGCCATGAGTCATAGCCAACTTGGCACTGCTGTCGACTTCGGCCCAATCTTGGAGCAAGATGGGTGTCATGTGGCATACTATGCTAATATTTCATTCTATTACCTTGAATGATGCACTGTTGAAGATCTAGTGATTTCAACAACCAAAAAAAAAACCAAGCTCGTGAATCGTCCTATTGTTTTCCTATAGCACCACATGTATGTTACATTTCTTTTTTTTTCTTTTTTGAAAAAAATGAAAAACAAATGCCCGTAAATTTTTACGAGCACTTTACGACATTGTCTTCAATTATAAATCTAAAAATTTGCGGTCTTGCCTAGTAGAAAAGAATATTGACTTACAAACAGGGGCGGACTTATGAAGGGGCTTGACTGGGCTTTAGTCCAGTGCTAGTTTTGTACTTAGTCTTAATTGAACAACAAAATCCATTACAATTAAATATTAAAGTGCTGGTTTTGTACTTAGTCTTAATTGAACAACAAAATCCATTACAATTAAATATTAACCCTCTTATCTTTTTGAATTCAGCCTATCCTAGCTATCCGCATCAGATTTCTTATTCTTCTACCCACTGAAATCCTACCATATTTTCTATAAAATAATAATAATAATAATAATAATAATAATAATAAACCTGCCATATAATATTAATTAGCCCAAAAATTCCTGGTTATAAAAGACCTCCCAAAACAAAAACAAAATTTGCCCACTCCTAGAAATATTCCTGGGTCCGCCATTACTTACAAACTAGTGGCCTAATGTTTAAATCCTCATGACACCTTGGTAGTGTGTGTGAGAAACGCTATATACCCTTTAAGTTTTTTTATTTTTCAGAGGATATGAGTACACTGATATGACAAATCTTCAAAAACTAGGATACGGGTACGGCACCGATACAATGATTAATAATATATTTTTTAAAAAATAATATAAACAGGTCAATAATGGGCCCAAAGAATTATCAAAGTTTGGGCATCTGGGTTGGGCTTACTTATAATAACCCAATTCGGTTCTCATTCTTCTTATAGTGGGCTTTTCTTTTGTCAAAGCTAGCCCATTAGTGAAACAGACCTAGGCACTAGCCCATAGTGAAACTTACTGTTTCTTTCACTCAAGGCATGCAAGTAAAACGATGCGTATTGTAATTGGGGCACCTAACATCATCTTCTTCACGAGTTAGCCGCCTCTTCTTCGCAGAGCAACTGCAACTGGAGATTCGCAGCAACTGCAGCGCGCAAGTAAGTTCTTTTCTTCTCCCTTATTCCTTCTTCCTTCTTCTTCTTCTTCTTTCTTCTCTACTGCCGAAACCAGTAAAAACTAGCCTCTGTCGAATCCAGAAGAAGAGGCTAAGTATATTGCGATATACCCCCGCCATATCCTTGAGCGTATCGCTCGTGTGTCCATGGCGTATCGAAGATGGTCAACATAACAGAAAAGTCCACGATACGTCGTTTTCCGTATCTGATACGTATCGGAGGAGTATCCGATACGAGCATACCCCTCATGACCGGCGTATCGGTGCAACATAGAGAAGCCTTCGCGCTCAAGTTTCTGAATACAACAGTCCTTTTGTCTTTACCCATTTTATCGGGTTCTTCATTTCATAGTGTGATTCTGAGAATGCAGTAATCCCTTAGCATGCTTTGCGTCTTGCTTTGTCTGAAACCCGTAAGTAAACACTTGACCAACATAACCACCAGCGCTTTGTTCTCTACCAAACCAACGACAACATCAATACTTCTTAGACAATGCAAGTTTCTTCTCCAAGCTAAGCTCATCCACCAACATATCCTGGTCCAAGGCCTCACGCACACCGTAACCGACCTCATTGCCGCCTATGTAGCTTGCAATGCTCCTTCACAAGCCTTGGCGTTGCTCCAACGCCTTGTGCCGTGCCCATCAATTGTTTTCTGGTGGAATGTGCTTATACGGAGTGCCGTGCGCTCTGGGTTGCTTTATGACGTGCTTTGTCTCCACGGGCGAATGCAAATGCTTGGGTGGAGGCCTGACCATTATACTTACCCCTTTGTTCTCAAGGCTTGCGGCGAGCTTCACATGTTCAGCCGAGGCTCTTCGGTCCATGCTGCTTTGTATGCAAATGGTTTTGATTCAAATGTGTTTGTTTGCAATGCGGTTGTTGCTATGTATGGCCGCTGTGGCGCTTTGAATGATGCGCGTAAAATGTTCGATGAATTGCTTGAGAGAGGAATAGGGGATGTTGTGTCCTGGAATTCAATTGTGTCAGCTTATGTTCAGAGTGGAGATTCGAAGAATGCACTCTCAATGTTTGATCGGATGATGGGCGATTTTAGTGTACGCCCAGATGCTTTTAGCTTAGTTAATGTTCTTCCTGCTTGTGCTTCGGCTGGGGCACCAATGTGGGGTAAGCAGATTCACAGTTATGCTATTAGAAGGGGATTATTTGAAGATGTGTTTGTGGGTAATGCCGTTGTTGATATGTATGCTAAGTGTGAGATGATGGATGAGGCAAACAAGGTATTTGAGAGGATGGAAGAAAAGGATGTGGTTTCTTGGAATGCCATGGTTACTGGGTATTCTCAGATTGGTAGACTTGACGATGCTATTGGTTTTTTTGAGAAGATGAGGGAGGAGGAGATTGAGTTGAATGTTGTCACTTGGAGTGCTGTGATTGCAGGATATGCTCAGAGGGGACATGGTTATGGGGCGCTGGATGTGTTTCGGCAAATGCAGGCGTGTGGCTCTGAGCCAAATGCTGTTACCCTCGTATCTCTTCTTTCAGGGTGTGCCTCTGCTGGAGCACTGATTCATGGAAAGGAAACTCATTGTTATGCGATAAAATGGATCCTGAACCTAGACAGAAATGACCCTGGAAATGATATGATGGTAATTAACGGTCTGATTGACATGTATACTAAATGCAAGAGTCCCAAAGTTGCACGAATGATGTTTGATTCTGTTGCACCAAAGAAAAGGAATGTGGTGACTTGGACTGTGATGATTGGTGGATATGCCCAACATGGGGAAGCTAATGAGGCACTAGAACTCTTCTACCAGATGCTCAGACAGGATTTCCCCCTAAAGCCAAACGCTTTTACTATATCTTGTGCCCTGATGGCTTGTGCTCGTTTGGGTGCCCTGAGGTGTGGTAAGCAAATTCATGCTTTTGTACTACGCAATCAGTATGATTTTGTGAAGCTCTTTGTGGCCAATTGCCTGGTTGATATGTATTCCAAATCTGGAGACATTGATGCTGCTAGAGTTGTGTTTGACTACATGCAACAAAGGAATGCTGTTTCTTGGACTTCACTAATGACAGGTTATGGAATGCATGGTCGCGGTGAAGAAGCCCTGCAAGTTTTTGATGAGATGAGGAGAGTGGGGCTGGTGCCTGATGGTGTAACCTTTGTTGTTGTTCTCTATGCTTGCAGCCATTCTGGAATGGTTGATGAAGGAATGAGGTACTTTAACAGCATGAGCACAGATTTTGGGGTTGTTCCTGGGGCAGAACACTATGCTTGCATGGTTGACATCTTGGGTCGTGCTGGTCGCTTGGATGCCGCATTGGCGCTGATCAAAGGCATGCCTATGCAACCAACACCAATTACATGGGTGGCCTTGCTCAGTGCGTGCAGGACCCATGGGAATGTTGAACTTGGTGAATATGTTGCACATCAGTTATCAGAGACGGAGTCAGAGAATGATAGTTCATATACATTGCTTTCAAACATATATGCCAATGCCAGGCGTTGGAAAGATGTGGCCAGAATCAGATTGTTAATGAAACATACGGGCATCCAGAAGAAGCCCGGTTGCAGTTGGGTGCAAGGAAAGAAAGGCAATGCAACCTTCTTTGTGGGTGATAGGACTCATCCACAGTCTCAAGAAATTTATGAGACCCTTGCTGACTTGATTAAACGGATCAAAGAGATTGGATATGTCCCTGAGACAAGCTATGCACTTCACGATGTCGATGATGAAGAGAAAGGAGACCTTCTTTTCGAGCATAGTGAGAAGTTGGCTTTGGCCTATGCAATCCTAACTACTCCACCAGGCGCACCTATCCGGATCACCAAGAACTTACGTGTCTGTGGAGATTGCCATAGTGCGATTACCTACATATCCAAGATTGTTGAGCACGAAATCATATTGAGGGACTCAAGTCGCTTTCATCATTTCAAGAACGGATCCTGCTCCTGCCGAGGCTATTGGTGACAAAAGAAGTTATCCTAGTTGTGAGCTCAATTGTCCCTTCTTAGTAATTACATATGGATTGTTTTAGATATGAGGTTTATGGGGTGGTAAAGAACACAAATGTTACATTTATAAAAGCAATGAAAAAAATCAATCAAAAGATGATTGTTTCATAATTGCCAAGGTCCATTAAAGGTTATCAGAGGTTTCACAAGCATCTCTGATCTTTCTTCTTCTGATGAGTCACGCATTTCAGTAAAGGCAGTAAATGGGAAAATTGAATTCTAATCTATGTTTTTTTTTCTTTTTCTTTTACCATGCATATGGGTTGATGTTCTTAATAATCTTACATGACATGCCAAAGCTGCTCTTTTATTTTTTTATTTTTTTTTGCCTTTTGACTGTATGGATAGGTAGATGAAGAAACTAAATGGTAAAAATTTGAGTAGAGTCAGTAGAGGAATGCACTGAAATGGTAATACCATTTTTTTTTTCAGCTTGCGCCATTTTTATTCTGATAAGTTTTTTGTTCCTCTTCTTTTTTGTTTTTCCTTGGGGAAGTGGATATGATAAGATTTGCAATGGTGGGATATCATCACTCGCATGGTTTTACAATGTTTGCTATGGGCAGTTACTGGAAGATTTGGGATCCTCATAGGTGTTCTGCATGCCCGTAAAGTAAAGTAAAGGTTTGTGTTGTTTTTTTTTCTATTGTTGTACGTTTTCTTTTCTTTTACTTAGAAGGCATTTGAATTGGTGGTTGATTCCTTTAATTAATCTAGGTGTTTCTTGAGTAATTTGCTATTAAGTTACTTCTTTATGCATTTCTAAGAGTTTTGTTGTTCATTTACTCTGCATTAACTTCTGCATAGCCACCTTGGGGGAAAGTTGTTAATTTTTCAGAATACACTGCCATCTCTTGGTGTTGGCCGCTTGAAGTTGTGTGGAGATGATCGTTGTGTCTATGGAACTGATAAAGATCATCCATTGAGACCACCGGAGGATCCTTTCTACAAGCAGATGGCTGCAGAATTTACCAAGTTCCAGATATATGCCTTCGGTGACAAGTACACTGATATAGCCTCATTAGGTATATAGTGGTGATTTTATCTTCTGTTTCACTACCATAGAACCGAAGATCAAGATGATGTAGGAAATCAGAGGATCTTCTACTGATATTTCTCTCTGTTGATATGTTCAGAACTCCTACATTATCTACCAATTTTTAGTTGTGAGGAAATTTGCTTTTACTATGGTTTTCTAATATTTGTTGCATTAACTGTTTTTTTAATTACAAATTTCTTGCATTAATGTTTGCTCTCCTCTCCTATGATCTTCATTTGCATAGTAGTTGTATACCGGGGGGCAGGTGTATTATTACCCTAATTTTCAATCAACAATTCATGGAGAGAAGTTGAGACATGAGTTAGCGAGAGACCTTACTAGGGAAACTGCTTGGGAAGCAGTCATGTGCATAAGATGTGGAAAAGGTGTCTCCAGAACCACTTCAATTGGATTCACATACATATGTTATTTGTCTGTATTGAAATATGCTAATGTTTTGTTACTTGTTTATATTTCTAATCATGGGAACTTTATGCTGAGGTCCACCGACTTATTAGACTTCCAGCTGTAGATTGTGATAAAGCATTGAGTCATTACTAACTATTCAGACAGTATATTTCCAAGTTGCTTTGATGTATCCTTCAGTTTGAATGTTTGATTTTAAGTTTTAACTACACATAGACATGCCTGTATGGTGCTTGTTTATCTTTTGATTATTCACATATCATGCTGTCAATGTCAATTGTTAACGCTACTTTTGTTATGATTGTTGGTATCTCTTTAAATTTCCATTATAAAATCATCTCCTTCTGATATTCTTCTTCCGAAGTTCTCTTTTGAGTTACATAATGAAGTTGTTTTATTCATTATACTCGATCTGCATAGTTGACGGTCTAGTTTAAGTTGCTTTGGTGGCAATTCTGCAATGGTATTGTGAAGGTTATCAACTCATGAAGTGTCCTCAACATTTTAAAGATACACTGCATCCTGTGGAGAAAGGCGTATTAGAGTACATACGGCAGCAGCACCAGAGGTTACAGATCTGGGAGAGATGTACCCCCAGGCTGCTACAGGTGCCATTGTCACCTTGCTTTCCAGGCTATTCTAGTGGTGTTGTATATATTGTGAATCTTGATTTCATAAGTTGTTCGGAAATAATTTGCAGCAGTTGAAAAAACTTTGTCCCATAAGTTGGAAGATGCTCGGAACTCTTTGCAGTTAAGAATTGTCAAAGCCCTCAAAGAATATCCACAACACCACTTGGGAGGGAAGATGATATACCCAGAGTCTCTGCCAATTAAAAACCTGTTAAAGCTCCTATATCCATGTTTGATACGGCTTGATGAGTATCTTTTGAAGGTAATAAAATTCCATCAACTTAAGTTGGGTGATGTCATTTGGCAATCATTAAATTTGTTTTCCGCTTCTTGTATTTGTAGGCATCTTCTGAGGCTAATGACTTGAAAAGCATAGAGAATAGGTTACCACTAGTTGCTGACAGCTTAGATTCCAGAGGCCTCTATATATTTGATGATGGGTTTCGCTATGTTGTATGGTTTGGTAGAGTTCTTCCACCTGATATATACAAAAAATATATGAAAAAATCAAAATCCAATCAAATATAGTTACCAATCAATTAAATATCTGCCTCTATTTCTCAAGGAAGGGTTGCTCAAAGTCTTAAATCTTGTACAAATATCTCAAATTTTAATTTTAAGATCTTTCATCCCGCACCTTTTTTTGTTGATACAATCCAATAGAAACACACTTGTCAACTCTTGTAAAATGTCACCCATGATGAACAATAAGTCTTTTATTAATTAATTGAATGTAATCTATTTTATATATGCACCAGGACCTTGATTTGTGGCTATTATTTTATTTATTACTGATTCAATGATCATGTGCCTTACAGTTGTTAACTTGTTATACATAAACATAAGCTATAGACTTCATAAAACCAAGTCTTTCTTTAAATAACTAATTTAATGTGAACATATTTTGCTGCTCTTTCCTTGTTTCTTCCTATAATCTCCTCTCTGACTTCATTAAATTCTTCTCTTTTCTCTCATTCCTTCCACCATTGCATCTATCTTCTTGTTCATTTTCAGATTTTCAATTCAAAAAATTAGAGTCTTAAGTTATATAAGCATGACTAGTAGTGTTGTTGTCCAGAATTTATTAGAAGCTGGCACCAGAAAGATTGCTTCCCTCGTGCCCTTGGCTGCAGGGTTTCTTACATTTGTGGGAATCGAGTGCTTTGTGGATCAATTGGTTGCTTCAATCAAACCAATAATTGGGCAGTACTTGGCCAAGTATCTGCTAGCCTGCAGTGGTCCTGTGGTGACCAAATACCTAGACATTTATGTTGCTTACATTCTAAGCTACAAAACCAACATTGAAAACCTCTTGAAACAAGTCAAGAAGCTCAAGGCTACAAGAGACTTGGTGCTGCAAGCTGTTGAAGATGCAAAGAAGAGGGGAGAAGTGGTGGTCAGAGATGAAGTTGAGAAATGGCTGAGCAGCGTCGACCGGCTCACTGGAGAGGCTACCAAGTTTTTCGAATATAAAGGCGACGCCAACAGCGGGTGGTTTCGTTGGTTGTATGGCCTGTTGATGTCGCGGTACCAGTTGAGCAAGAAGGCAAAGAAGATGATAGAGCATCTTGTTCAGCTCCAAGCAGATGGAATATTTGCTAAGGTTTCTAATTGATTAATTTGTTAGTTAATCTTGTGTGATAATTGGTCTGAAAGTTTCAACTTATTTAAGCATATGTAATTCAATAATAATCTTCTGTCTGTTGTATTGTATTTACCCCCAAATTTATATAGTATCCAATTAAGCATGTTTGCTGGTCCGTGATTTCTCTGTAAGTGGCACCATATCTTGTGTGATTGGTCTAAGCAGAAAATTGCATAGCCTCCATCTCCAGCTTCCCTCCATAGCCAGATGGGTTTTCAAAGCTGAGAAAATGAAGAGAATCCCATACTTCTTATGCTGAACCTCGAGCTTCCATGGCTATCTCTTTCCCTCTCTTCAATTGTCTCTGTTTGTTTCAGTGTTTGTTGTCTGTAATTTCTCTATCTGTAATTGAAACCAAGTATCTGCAGCAGCAAGAGAAAAAACGAAAGAAAGAAAGAAAGATTTCCTCTTTAATGCTCAAAATTGATTTCTCCATAACTAAACCAGTTCATTCCTTAAATAGGCAGCCATGGCCATGCCTCCTCCTCCTCACGGTGGCCTCATACCATTTACGCCAATCCACTCGAAGCTTGCTCTTCATCTAAGAACCTCCAAACCCTCAAACACCTCCACGCTAAATCTATTAGGCTCTGCATTTCCCACCACGACTTCATTCGAACCAAGCTCGTTTTCTCCTATGCCTCCTGTGCCCAACTGAACCAGGCCAACCTCCTCTTCTCCTGCAATCGCCAACCCACCTTCCTCTTCAACACCCTCATTAGAGCCCATTCGTCTCAGGGCTTCTTCTCTCAATCTTTGTCCATTTTTCTACGCATGCTTGCTGCCATTAAAGCCTTTGACCGCCATACCTTGCCTGTGGTTCTCAAATCTTGTGCTGGATTATTGGAATTGAAGCTTGGACAGCAAGTACATGGAGCCATTTTGGTTAATGGGTTTGCCTTAGATTTGGCCAGTTTGAATGCGTTGATCAGCATGTATGCTAAATGTGGTGATTTGGCTGGTAAGCGTAAAGTGTTTGACAGAATGCTCATAAGAAATGAGATTTCTTGGTCGGCAATTTTGGCCGGGTATGGAATGCATGGAGTGTTTGGTGAGGTATTTGAATTGTTTGATAGGATGGAGGCAGGAGAGAGGTCAGATGTGGTGACATTCACTACAGTTTTGACAGCGTGTAGTCATGGCGGATTAACAGGCAAGAGGAGGGAATATTTTGAAATTCTGGGGAGCATAGGTTCGGGGTGAAGCCGGGGTTGGAGCATTATACCTGTATGGTGGATATGTTAGGCAGGGTGGGACGGGTGGAGGAGGCAGAGGAGTTGGTTTGGGGATGACAGTGGAACCAGATGAGGCATTATGGGGTGCGTTGTTGGGCGCTTGTAGGATTCATGGGAAGGTAGAGGTAGCTGAGAGAGTGGAACAGATGCTTTATGGAAGACGACTTTCTGTAGCATCTCTATCAGGCATTTACAGTGAAGTGCTTGCAAAAGGTCATCAGTGAGTTTGATTTCTCAAGTCTGGGGTAAACAAGCTTGCGTTGCTCATAGAAAGTTGGTTTCTAGTTACTGGGAGTTCTTAGCCTAGGAATTTTTGCAGGGAACAGATGGAACAGATTATAGATGGATGTCCTGTCTCTACCATTGTTAAAGCATATTAGTTTATGCAAAAGTATAGGTTGATGGCAATGGACAAAAATGCTACGGACGGTAAACCACCCAAGGACGTAAGAATTTGTCCGTTCTGCCCTTCTCAGACTGAAAGAAAAATGCCATCAAACGTCTGAGGTTCTCTGTGATCTGCTAACTGTTCACCAAGAAGATTTGGGGATTGCATGCTACGATAGCTCATATTGACAAGAGTATAGAGTTTACTCTTGGTATACAGATATTGAAAAGAGATTGATTTTTGAATATACAGAACCAAACTTCGGCGGATGCCATCATTTCTTATAGATCTTGACAATTTCATGTTTTTTTATGAGGAAGGTTTTTAGTCAATTAACCAATAGAATTGGCATCCTGATAATTACAATTTTTTTATTTATCAAACAACTGCATTTTATCACAAACCTCTTTCGACTTAGTCTATTTATTAGCTAGATATAACATATATTATATGTAAGGTTATTCTACCAGGTCATCTTGCAGCTTCAGTCACTCACTCACCAACAATAGAAAAACTTCTTAGCTAAGGACATATACAAGGTCTCTTCCCAAACACAGGTTTTTTCAGGTATATATATCATCTCTTCCCTAGCAAGCACACACCTTCAGGTTAAAGTTCAAAGCTTGATGCCAGAGTGGGTAAAAGCTTGCAAGTTTACAAAAGCCAGGACAATTTTGTGAGCATGCTAATTTCCAAAAATTACTTAACTGACACAGTAGATGTCAAGTTCGTTTCGTTTAATAATATCAGTCTCAAAAACAAAACATGCACCATTTCCAGTTAAATTGCACTGAGTGAAGCGTTTCCTACTTTTAGGAGAAGGGGAAAAAGGGGCCTTTGTGATATACGGAACATTACCATTGTCGAGCCTAGTAGCGTGGGCTTGTAACTAATCAAAGCATTGTGTTTGGTGGATTATGATGGAGGATAAGTTAAAACGGTGAGGAAGGAATTCATTATCGCCTCCTGTTTCCCTTATTTACATTATATTTTTTCAGAAGGCCAACCCAGTTAATTTCAAAAATCACGAAACTAAACTGTACTGATTTCTTTACTAAACCTATTAAGACAGACTACCAGTGATGGTTTAATTTCACATTCTGGAAAAGATTTATATGGACATATATTTTGGAGCTTGATAAGTACTTACAAAATGTATTGTATCTTCATATAACCTACAAGTATCAATCAAACTCGTATGATTCCCTCACAAAGTTTTCTGGAACATACCCACATAATTTGAGCTCAAAAGAGAGAAGCTCTAGTTTTGAATATATATGCTCTGCGTTGACATGAGATTTATCACCGGCCACAAATTCATGAATGTTAGTCTATGTCAACTGAACTAAACCCCGGCATCTTTTGTATTCCGAGGGCTTTCATGTTCTTACTAACCTTGCTTGCACCATCCCACCTTCCATCCGCTGCATATGTATTGGATAAGAGTACATAGTTGGAATCAACACCAGGATCCAACTCATAGAGGTACTTCATTAATCTTTCAGCTAAACTGATATTCCCATTGGTTCTACATGCAGCTAGCAAAGAACCCGCCCCAACTTCATTTGGCTTCATTGGCATGTTTTTTATTACATTTAAGACATCTTCCAACATCCCTGCACGGCTATACAGATCAACTATGCACCCATAATGCTCAATTCTCAGGGTTATTCTGTGAATTCTCTTCATGTTATCAAAGTAATGTAGCCCCTCATTGACTAAACCGGCTTGGCTGCATGCGTAAAAGCTCCAGTGAAGTTGAGCCCCTCTGCCTTGAACCCTTCCTTCTGCATGAGGTTCCTCTGCGTGCCCATTAACAGCAAAGCCCACAATCATCTAGTTCCATGATACCAGTGTCCTTTTAGACATGCTCTCGAAGACTTGACAAGCAAAACCAATACAGCCACATCAAGAATACATATCGATCAGCGAGTTACTTATCCTAATGTTGTCTCTAAAATATTGCTTCACAAGAAACCGGTTTATCCACAAGCCTAATCCAAGCGTTCCCAAATCAGCACAGGCAGCAATTACAGCAATTATGGTCACATAGCCCGGTTCCACACCCGAGAGCTGCATCTCACGAAACCACTCCAATGCTTGCTCGAACTGGCCTTTCTTGACAAACCCACCAATCAAAACCATCCAAGAAACCGCACCTCTGGGTGGCATTTGTTCAAACAGCTCGACCGCATTATCAACCTTGCCATTTTTCATATACCCATCCATCATCGTATTCCAAGACATTGAATTCTTCATATCCAGCCCATCAAAGACCAGTCTAGAAAAATCCACCCCACCACACTTTGCATACATATCAATCACCGCCGTGCCCACCATCACAGTATTTGTATCCAAGCCGAGTTTCCAGGCGTAAGCGTGAAGCGGAGGCCCAAACAACACACCCTTGGCCGGAAAATGAGCACAGCCGGAGAAAATCGTAACGAATGTGATGTGGTTTGGCTCGACGCCGGCTCGTCTCATTTGGATGAAATGCGCAACAGCTTCAGCCAATTGACCATTTCGGCAGAGGTGGGAGGGATATGGAGGAGGTCCATGAAATAGTGGGGTCTATGGGCTTTTGGGTCCTTTCCAGATAGACTCTGTTTGTTGTGATGTTTGGAAGTGGGTGAGGGGTGGTGGTTTGGATGGTGAAATTTGTATTACGCCATGGCTATACTAATTAAATTTTTTAAATTGATATACTCTATAAATAGACTTTGTTTTATAAGAATAGCCGCGCGGTAATACTCGCAAAATTTAAAAAAAAACATTTAGACAGATTTTCACAAAAATTAAAAAAAATTTAATCAGTATTTGTTGTTTATATAGAAAGATAATATTCCCTTATTATCTTTCCGTTTATTTATTTACAAAAAAAAATTTAAAACAAATAAACTTAGGTTAAGGTTGAATTATTTGGATTTGACCCCAAAAAAAAATTTTGAAAAGGCAAAAACAGAAGAAAAAAATTGGTAATAAAGATACACCGCAAGGGTGGGCCTGCCTTAACCGGATGTGTGGTAACGGTAACGGTAACAGGTGAGCCCGAATGCTGTTCCCTTTCCTGTCAGGGAGATGCCAAGTTGCCGACCATCTCTTCTATGTACAGACACGAAATCCTTATATATAAAGCAGCATAGACTCAATGATTTGTCGATGTGGGATTTGGTTTTGTGTGTACTTATTTGGGTTGGATTGGGTACGGGTGGTGCTGGTGTGACTGGTGTCAATTGGGTTTGGCGGTTGGAGTGGTTTGATGGCTGTGGTGATGCAGGCAGTGGCGGTGGGGGTTTTGATTAAAGGGAAGGATATGACTCATTTCATTGTTTTGCAAGATTGAATCTGTTTCTTGAAAACATAGAAAACTTGTCCAGAGCAGCAGCCTAGGCGGAACGCAGCTTATTTGGAGTTTTTCATCCAACACTTGGTGGGCATATTGGAGTTGCCCGCCAAGCTTCCAGGGGTCGTCGGTTCTGTTTTCTTTATAACTGTAGGTGTGGGTGGTGTGCTTCCTCTGTAGAGAAACTGTATTTTAAACGATGAGTCTTCCCGCGTCTACAGCAATCCCAATCCAACTCCTTCAACTGCCCAAACAACCACCACTTCTTCACCCACTTCCAAACCATCACAACAAAACAAACACTCTGTCTATGTAGAAAAGACCCAAAAGCCCATAGACCCTACTATTTAATGGGTCTAGCCGACACTTTAAAAAATCTATTTATAGAGTAGCCGTTCGGCTATACTGTTGGAATATTCTATTTATAGCCGAGCGGCTGTACCCTTTGAATATCTTTTTTTTTAATTACTTTAATTAGTAATTATATTTTAATTATAATTTACTTAGTGAATAATTAGTATTTAAAATTTTAGTATATTTTATTTTTATTGAATAATATGTGAGTATGTTGTGTATAATATGTGAATTGTTTGTGTATTATTGAAAATTTTGTAAAAGAACACGTGTATTGAACATGAAAAATAAGTGCATCTGTGTACAATACATGTATTATACATTTACTTTTTAAAAATACTCATTTTACCTAGTTTTTAAGATGTATACGGAAAATGGAAGTATTATTTAAAAATACTTATGTACGTGCATAATACGAGTATTAAACATCAAAATGCTAAATTATTTATACAAGTAATAACTTTGGAAAAGCAAGAAATCAAAATTGGACAATAGAGACTTGGGCAATGGCCTAACAATAATGGATAATGCTCTAAATTACTCTTATCGATAAATGAAAATTATGGGAAAATAATTATATATATATAAATAAAAATAAAGGATTGGGGTAGATAGTTAAAGAGTATAGCCGTGCGGCTATACTATTTTTTTTAAAAAAATTTGGCTTTTTATCACAAATGGTCCTTGATGTTTACGAAATTGTCATGAATGGTCCTTTAGGTTTTTTCGTGACATTAATAGTCCTTAACATTATGACTTTTTATCACAAATGGTCATTGTTATTAAAAATTATGTTAAGTGGCTAATGTGGAAGATAAGTGGAGTCCACATGTCCAATCAAATTGTGACATGTGGATTAAATAAATAAATATTTTTTTAATGAAAATCCATATAATAAAAAAATTAAAAATCCATTTAGCCTCTCTCTCTCTCTGCCCCCCCCCACCCCCCCAGGTTGTCCTCTCTCTCCTCCCTCTAGCCTTTTTCTCCTCCATGTGCTCTCCCTTTCCCTCTATTTTTTTTTCTTACCTCTACAAGCCATCCCCACCCACAACCCACGCCCGACCCCACCTTCTCCCTCTGTATATTTTGGAAAATAATCACTTGCATAAGGCAGTGCCACATATCCTTCACACAAACATTTATTCGAACAAAACAGAGGGGGAGAGTAGAGGAGGAGAGAAAATACAGAGGGAGGGAGAGGGTGGGGGAGTTGGGCGTGGGTTGTGGGTTGCAGTGTTTAAAAAAAACGGAGACCATTTTTTCTTGCGGGTGGCAGTGGACAAGAAAAAAACAAAGGGAAATTCCCAGGTTGTGAATTATGATATATAACTATACAAATATGTACAAAATATGGGTTATATTATTTTGTATGATATACAACTTTACATTTTCTCTACCGCTGTATATCTTTTTTTTTCTTCTTGCAGGTGGCAGTGGGCAAGAGAAAAAAACAGAGGGAGAGGGAGAGCACATGGAGGAGAGAGACAGATTACAGGGAGGGGAAAGGGAAGTTGCATAAAAAAATTATTTTAAAAAAAAAGAAAAAAAAAGAGGGAATTTTCATTAAAAAAAATATTTATTTATTTATTTATTTCATCCATATGTCATGATGTGATTGGATATGTAGGCTCTACTTATCTTACACGTCATACTTAACAGAATTTCTAACAACAATGACCATTTATGATAAAAAGACCTAAAGTTAAGGGCTATTAATGTCACAAAAAAACCTAAGAGATGGTGCATTTCTGAGTCACTGAGGAACCAAGTCTATCCCCGAGTTACCAACCCTGTTGTTTACTTACTTCTATTATAAATGAATAAATATAAGTAAAGGATCCATGGATAAAGATAGAGGGTGTATTTCTAATTGTAACTAGACCTTAAGGGGGCAACACCAATACCCACTCGATTGGACAAAACAAGACCTGGGTTGACATCCACGAGGCAATTCCTCAAGCACCATTCGTGATAATTTCGTAAACCTCAAGGACCATTCGTGATAAGAAGCCAAAAAATTTAACAAACCGAGTATAGCCGCCCAGCTATACTATTTATTTTATATAAAAAAATTAGAAAGACCAAGTTTAAAAAATATTAGAAAAACCGAGTATTGCTGCGGCTATACTATTTCTCTTATTTTTTTCTTTCCATGTTGAGGTTTTAAGCTAAACGACGCCGCTTGTCTGCTTTGTCCGGTTGAACGAGAGTTCGCGGAGAAACCCTAGATAGCAAAAATCCCCAAACTTCCTGCGATGGCAATTGCACGGACTGGAGTGTACGTCGACGACTATCTTGAATGTAAGATGTATTCGATAATTCAATTGGACTTGTAATTATTTATATTTTTCCACTAAAATTAGTTTGAACTGAATTTCGTATGAATTTGAATTTGCATTTGGGTTTTCAAAGACGCAAGCACATTGCCTGCTGAGCTCCAGAGGCTCCTCAACACCATCCGAGAACTCGACGAACGCTCCCAATGTAACTCCACGCTTCTTCAATTCTACACCTTTCTTTTTTGAATTTTTAGAGCTGTACGATTGAAAATTCTGATAAGTTGATAAATTATTGTGTTTGCAAATAAGCCATGATACACCAGACGAGGCAGCAGACTAAGTACTGTTTGGGATTGTCTTCACAGAGCTCAAAGAAATGGAACAATAACCATAACTATAATAACAATGAAGAAGATGAAGCGGCAATTGAGAAAATCCGAAAAGAAATCGAAGCAAATCAAGATAATGCATTGAGTCTGTGTACTGAGAAGGTTTTGTTGGCGCAACAAGCTTATGACCTGGTAAGCTTCTCTTTTAACCATATTGTCTAATGGGTTTCCTTGAATTCTATCAAGTTATTCAATGGGGTGCTCAAATATTATACTTCATCTGTTACTTTTTTATTTTTGGCTATAATTGGTGAAATTCTATTCTGGGTTTTTAATTGCATTTTTTATGAAATGCCAGTTCATAGTAGTCAGTTTCTGCTCTTGGACACATAATTTAACTGCCAAAACAGTTGTTATTTAAATTGGATAATTCACATTTTTTTTTGGAGCTTTCTGGGATTGCTTTATCCTAATGTAGAGAATGATTTACTTGAGGAATTTCATATAGTGCCTTGCTTGGTTGAAAGGTCCTATTATCTGGTGGTATTGTCGCTGACATAAGTGAATATCGTGAGCTAGTTTCAAATGGTATGACATAAGCTTGATTACCATTCAACTAATATTAAGTTTGAAGAACCAGTAGGGTATCACCCCATTCTTGAATGAACAAGCCTTTCAAACATAAGTTTTTGTTAAAATTCACTTAATGTGTTGCTAGATTCTTCTCTGTAACAATCTGCTCCACTAGAGAACATGACAATGCATCCTAGATGGGAGTATGTAGCACCACTTTTTCAAATTAATAGTTCAATTCTTTTCTTCGTATGTGAGGCATTTCAGTCTTGCAAGGTTAGGCATAAGCCTTGAGGCATATTAATTTTTATATGTTTTAGATTGTAAATGTAGTATACCTACTCTCCCTGTATTTCTTCCTTATTTTGTGGCTTCAAATGCCTTGGGAATTTTTGAATAATTTATGGTTGGAACTTACAGAAATTCTACATGTTGTGTTTGCATCAGATAGATAGTCATGTAAAACGACTTGACGAGGATCTGAATCACTTTGCAGAAGATTTAAAGCAAGGTACATGACTTTGTGAAAGTCTAATGTTGTCCCAATAGTACATACTATATTTTGAAGGATCAGAAACCGTTCAATGAATTCTGAAACAAAAGTACTTTTAGTTATATTCCAGTTAGTTAGGCCACTTGAAGGTAATAGGCCATGGACGAAGAAAAAGGTAGAAAAGTTAACAAAATCAAAGCTCAACTCAATTGAACTCTACTAAGCCATACTTTCTGCTCACCTATACTTAGTAGATGAGTTCTGCCATTGGGAAAACCATCAAGGAAGTCCTACCTACATTTTACTAGCCATAAACTATATCAGCCAGTTCAGGCATCTCTGTTTGTTTTGAGGGTGCACATCTTGAAACCAATGAGTGAGAACATTTATTAACTATTTATTTATCTTATTATCTGCTTTCTATTCTCTCAGAAGGAAAAATACCACCCGATGAACCAGCAGTTCTTCCTCCATTACCTATAGTCCCTAAAAATGAAAAGCGCAAGCCTATGTATGTAACACCTCAATCAAAAAGGCTTGATTTTAGGGATAGGGACTGGGATCGAGAGCGCGATAGGGACTTTGAACTCATGCCTCCCCCAGGAAGCCATAGAAAGGAATATGCTGTCCCTGTTGATGTTGAGCAACCCATTGATCCAAATGAACCTACCTACTGCGTTTGCCATCAGGTTCTGCCTTTTCGTTACATCTTTGTTATTTTCAGTTTAAGCTACTATTGTGCACATTACTTTTACATTTTCTTCAGTTTAAATGTTTTGAACTAAAGGAATTAACACGATTCTTCAGGTCTCTTTTGGAGATATGATTGCCTGTGACAATGAAAATGTAAGTCCTTTTGGTTCATTCTTTATGTCTTTTTCTTTCCTTTCTGATTACCTAATTAATTATCTTTTATGCTTCTTTCTGAATAGAATTCATCTGTACATTAAATTTAGAAGTTCGTTTGCCCCAGCTACAAAAACAAATATTAGCATTAGTCATGAGATTTTTTTTATGACAGTGCTCTTTGCATGTTAAATTGATCAGCGTTAAATCTGTTACAGAATATTTATAGTAGGGTCTTCTGCATTTGTTTTCGCAAGATTTTTCCTTCTAACAGTGTAAATTAAAAGAAACTTTGAGTTTTGTGCATATATAATAGCACAAAAATGAATGGGTTACAATTCACATGCACTCTTGAAGGATCATAGGGCATAGAAACCTGAAAATTCGCACATCCCCCTCCCTTTGAGGTGGGGGTTGTAGATCAGGCTCATAGTTATAACAGCGTATAATTCATCTTTTTTGTTTTATGGTTAACAGTATCTTTGTTATCACTTTCTACATGCTTGAAGTTGAAAATGTTAAGTAAATCCACATCAGCTTACTATGGAACCAGTTCATATATTTAGGACTTGTAACTGGTGAGAATATTGTGGTGTTTTCTTATTGCATAACCTTGTTTGACTATAAAGGCCGTAACAGTTCCTCAATACTCTAGCATATTGGTTGTCATTGGCTGCAGAAAAATAAAATAGACAAAGTTACTCTAGTGCAATTTGCTACTTACGTATTTGTTCTTTTATCATGTGTCATTTTTACTAATTGACAGTGCCAAGGAGGCGAATGGTTCCATTATGCATGCGTTGGGCTGACACCAGAGACAAGATTCAAGGGAAAGTGGTATTGTCCAACATGCAGACTACAACCACAAAGTCAGTAATTGTATGTTTTGCACAACCTAAGTTGCTTTAATAAACCACTCATGTGTTTTTTCAGTATCTTTTTCCCCAAAACTGTGGGAAGAAGGCTATGAGTCTATGACTATAATCTGTAAGGTTACAAATGTGATGGAGATGTGATCTATCAGATTCTTACCTGTATCTATTTCTTTGCTCTTCCCTCTTTAACAACTTACCCCCTTCTCCTTTTCCTGCTTTGAAGTTGCTGCTCAAATTTGATAGGTTTTATTGGGTAGATTAGATTAGAACTACTTGAAATTGAGTGAAATGCGTAAATTTTCTCTCTTTAGGAAAGCAGATGAGGTTGAGAATCATCTTGTGACATTAGCAGTGAACAAAAATTCTCGGCTTTGATTTAGTTTTTACGTCACAGTAAGTATTATCGTGGAACAGCTTTGTAAGTAATAATGGTGGTGACACAATCTCATTATGGATTGAGAAGAAAAATCATCATGCATACTAAGTTAGACAAACAAAAAAATACCTTTCCAAATTCAATGCATTTTGAGGTTATATGCTGCTTTCAAATTCTTCTCAAATTATATGGGCTAAATTTGCTACAAAAAATAAGAACCACAATAGATTCTTGGTGTGTTTACTAATCAGAAATTGAATTCCACCTTTGAATGATTCTTCCATTTACTTAAATCAAGAAACTAAAAAGTAAGTAGAGTTTACACAAAATTAGGAATTGAATTCTTGATTTTTGAGGAATTCAATTCTTAGGTGGGAGGTGGTGTTTTAATTTCTGGAGAACTAGGAATTCATCTTTTTTATCAATTATATCCTCACACAATTTTCAAATTTTCAAATTTGCCATCTACTTTAACCCAATAACAAGGACATTTTAGTAATTAGAACCTCTCCTATCCTAATTCCATATGGTTTAGTAAACAACTTCAATTGGAATCCGGAATCCGGAATCTAACTCTCCTCAATCCATATGGTTTAGTAAACAACTTCGATAGGAATCCGGAATCAAATTCTCCTCAATTCAACTCCTCTTCGATTCAATTCCTCATAATCTAATTACAAATTAGTAAACATGTCATAAGGCTGAGTCGGTTTCAATCTTAGGTTTGATGTCATTCTTGCAATCCTAGCAAGTCGAATGGTCTACACACACGTGAGCAATTAGGTTGAAACTATTACACATACATTGAAATTAAATGAGATATGTCCAGCTGCTTTTTTGGTATACCATCATTTTTTTCAGACATTAATAAAAACACCCACGCTCCTTTCCTTTTAAGAGCACGGTTACAACTAGTATCTTTGCAGTAGTGTTGGCATTCTTTATGGATGTTTCACAATTGGCAGGGATAGTAAGTTAACCAAAGTGACTGGAGGTATTAAGGATGATCACATCGTTTATATAAATAATGAATTTAAAGATATTGATGTATAGAGAGATGAATCTTTCTCGTTTTCTTGTTTTCAGCCTGACACGTGTGTATATATTTTGTGATAATTAGTGTTGATACTAACCTACAAGATTTAATGGAGATAAGTATAAGATAAATTAAGAAGTTTTATCGTTTATTTGTATTTTTAAAAAAAGATAATATAATATATTATTTATTTTACAGTAAATATTGTCACTCCCCAAATTTAAGGTCAATATTGTACTGAAATATGGTATGTGAATCTACGAGTTGAGGAAATAAATTTCCCCCGTTTTAAAAATAAATAAATATCATAGAGATATTTATTGATCCAAATTTAAATTCATAAATATAAGCTTGTTTACATGTAAGCTTAACATCATTAGAGCAAAACAAAGTTCAGTTGCTTTTAGAAAATGTGGAAACAAAATATTTAATCAACCTTTAAATAAATATCTTCCCATTCCCATGAATGCACTCGTTGAAACAACAAATTTGTATAATATCATGAGTTAAAGTAACCTAGTAAGTACATGCAACCGATATACAACATGCATCATAAAATAATCATAATGATTAAAACCAAGGCAATTATCATAAAGGATTTTTGTAGAAATGTCACATGAACTTATATATATAAGTTTCAATTTGTCACCTTAAAGAAAAATTTAAGAGAAATGATTAATTTTTCAAAATTCATGAGTTGTCATCTGAATTTAACAACATCCAATTTTCCATCCATTATTAAGAGTATTTTAATCTTTTCATTTTCAAGGAAAAAAAGAGACCTCTCTCCCTTCCTCCCGATTCTCCCCGTATTTTTTTCTCACCCGTGACCTGACTACCCCAGCCCCTACCCGCAAGCACCCACCCCCACCCTCTCACTCTATTTGATGACTGCCTGCCAAAGTACCTAAGCGATAAACAAAGAGCGCATAGAGTGCTCTCCCTGCCAACAAATCAATAATCCAAACTCTAAATCCTTAATTTAATAAACCATTTATTTTGAATTTAGAAAAAATCAGAAACTTTAGAAATTGAAACAAGCTTAAAGAGAAAAATTCCCAAAATCAAAAACACAATCTCACAGAATTGTTATAAATCTAAAGGGAAATTGTAGAGAGAAAAGAGAAAAGAAATGTAATATAATTTGCTCTCTCAACTTCTTAGTTTAATCTTTGATAAGTACCTATTTATAGGCTTACAACCATAGGAAATTAACCCACTAAATATATGTTAAAGGCTACTAATTACTATATTAATAACATATGTTACAAAACAATAAAAGGTGGAGATAATGGATATAATGTTGGTAATCCACATTCAATCGATTTATAACAAGAATATTATTATATTGGTAGACAAGAAGATGGTTTTATCTGTCGAGAGTGAGAGAGAGAGGGGGGGGGGGGTGGGGGGGTGGTGGGTGGGGGAGTCGTCGAGGGAGAAAAAAAAATAGAGGAAAGGGAAGGAGGTAGTGGGTAGGGGGCGGAGGAAGGAAGAGGGAGAGTAGAGAGAGACAGCAGAAGGGGAATGGAAAAAAAAAATTGCAATTTTCAACTTTCTTTCTTCATTTTTATTTTTATTTTTTAATGGCTTGCAGGAAAGACTTGATTTTTAAAAGATATAAAATTTTTTCATTTTTAAAATACCCTTAACAATGGATGGAAAATTAGGTAGTGTTAAAGTTAGATGACAAATCATGGATTTTGAAAAATTAAGGTGACATTTCTCTTAAATTTTGTTTTAGGTATAAGTTCAAGTTATTGGTTGCCTATGTGGCCATTATAATCGAGTCTTTCGGTTTTATAAATGATATTTTTATCATTTGACAAAAAATTGGCGTCAAATTTTCATAATATAAATAAATAAATGAATTATCGTGAAAAGAAAAGAAAAAAAAAACACGTTAGAAAAAGAAAGAAAAAACAAAACTGAGCATTGAAGTTGATTTGCAATCAGAATATTTGATTGAAAGCAAAGCAGACACTATCAAGGAAAATGGATTGCAAAGAAAGAATGAATCTCATGGGTTTCCCTATAAACGAGAGACATTATCAATAAGAGCATTTGCAATGGTGAGGGTCATTTGAATTTTATTTGAATAAATTAAATTTTTAACTTGAAGTGGTAAAGTTTAGTTCATTTTAAACATCTAGTTAATATATATACTAGCCATTACTAATTTGTTTCACTTAAAAAAATTTTAAAAAAAGGATAGCTAATTATATATACTAGCCATTCCTAATTTATTTTACTTTTCAAAAGCACAAGGGCTAGTTTCCTTTTCAAATGGCTAGTTATTTACCTATAAATACATATGTAGAAAACTACTCTCCCAAAACTTCCTACACCCACAAAAAAATTGTTTATGTTGAAATTTTATTTTTCAATAGAAAATTTTGTTATTAATTTTTTTTACATTCAAAATTTGTCTTCTTTTAAAGATCTCTTTGAAACCATTTCAATTGTATAATTCTTATCGTAATTAACTTTATTTATTTTATTTTATTTAATCATTTAAAATGAGCTGTTGAGTAACCATTGCGGATGCTCTAAAGGTTTATAATTGAATCAAAAACCTATATTCATAAATTTTAATTATTTATAAATTATATTAAAATAATAATATAAAAAAAAAAAATACTCAACTTAAATATAACAAAATAAAAAAAAAAAATAAAAATAAAAAAAAAAAAAAAAAAAAAAAAAAAAAAAAAAAATAAATAACAAGCAGTCCTCTTTATTCCTTCCTCAGCACGAGTTCAAGTTTTCTGTGACCAAACTCCCTGTGATCCTTCACTTAACATAAAGTTAACACTGTTAACTTCATTTGAAAATTAAAAAACAAAAAAAATAATTCTTCATCCTCTATCTCTTTGGTCTATTGCCCGTATATTCACTCTGAGCGACAAATTATCATGTAAAAAATTTCCACAAAAATAACCCATAAGTGGTAGATTTGCTTGTTCCGATCATCAACATCAATGAACCCATCTTAAATTCACAAGCTTTCTTTGTTGTGTTTTTTTCATTGATCAAATTAGACTGTTGATACCACCGAGGTGACCGTCGCTAGCCTGGTTAATTTCCGACAAACGCATATCAATTGGCGACACCTACGGGCTCCGACTTTTATGGAACCTAGATGAAACCACCGTCATCCAACACTTGAAAGTTGTCAAACCCACTGTAGAAATCTTTGTCAAATCTGCTCTAGTTGTCGAGGCCTAGCAACAGAACCGCAATGCTACAACACCCGTCAGCCTTTTAACCACCTTATACCGGAAAACTGTTTTCTTGTCCCTTCATCTTTCCTACGCTCTAATCTGAGAACTCAATTTTGTTCAAAAAAAAATTTCTGAAAACTGAGCCAGTTCTTGAAAAAACAAACCTTTAATATTATTATTTTGATAGAAATAGAGACTTAACAGAGTTAAGTTTTGGGTAAGTAAAGAGACACGTTTCAAGAGAATAAGAAGAGACGTTTCAGAAGAATAAGAAGGTCGGTGGGCACAAGGAGTTTGGTCACAGGTTCGCACACACAAAACCAATTCCCAAACAGTAATTTCGCAAGCCTAAGAAAGTTTGAATATGACTATGCATGTATAGCAAGGCGAGAAGATCGTATTTTGAATGAATTTTGAATTTTGTTGTGTTTCAAAGGAAATATGACCCATTAAGAATCTGACACTTGGTGTTTTTGAGAGAAAAATGAAATGAAAGAAGGATTTTCAATTTTTGTTGATCTCATCTCCTATTCATCTTTTTCTTTTCCTGTAAGTGGCTCTCTTTTCCACAATTTCTACCTTTGTTCTGCATAATTCTGTGTTTGGTTATGCTGCTTATTGGAGAGCAGAAATTGAAGTTAAATGTTGTTATGGATATACAATCAAGTAGCCTGTGAGAATGAAAATGCAGAGAGAGTTGCCTGCTTATGGGAAAAAGAAGGGCTTTCTTTGTGCAGAG